CTCAAAATGACTGTAACGGTTGTCCCGAAAATCGTGTTTTAGGGATTTTTGAAAAATGGCCTAAATTTTGAATTATGGGTAATTTAGTGAGAAAAATGTCAAAAAATGCCATTTTTTCACCAAAATGTCGACAAAAACTAGACTTAAAATCAGAAATTAAAAAATCCCTAAAACACGATTTTTTGTCTTATTCCTAGTCTGCGAAAAATATAAAAATCGGGGATCTGGGGTAATATACGTAGCCAGGTTTGAACGATATTTGCCTAAAAACGTGACATGACATGTGCTCGGAAACCCGAAAATGATCGTCTTTCTGAGCGAAATTTTAAAAAATCATTGATTTAGCATAAAAAGCTAACATTTAAAGGATGTTAAGACGATAATTTTATTTTAATTTGACGAAATTTACCCCTAAATATTATTTGTGTATTTTCAAATATTTTACGGGTAGTCCAAAACAGGCCAAAATAGCGTCTTGTAACCCGATACCTTTTAGAACGCGCATAGCAATGGGAAAGAATGCCGTAGTGACAGACCGCCGTGAATAGTAGAATGCACTGTGATGTACAGATACATGTAGATTTGTTCATTCTTCACTTGTTGGCTTGAACCAAAGAATGCCTGTCCTGTTCCCGCTTTAGCATTACAGTAACAATTTGTAGCATTTTACATACATGTACATGTCAAATTGGTTGTTGAAACTTACCCGCGTGATGTTGTTTCTAGCATGTGATTTTGGGTACTACAAGTCCGTGCTACGACCAGGACAGTGTACGCGGTGCCCCGACGGTGTGTCGTCCACTGCTGCCAGGACCAGCTGTGTTTGCCGCGGTGGTCTGCAGTGGTACATGGGTGAATGTACCTCTAATGTACCTGAGGTGACGGCCAGGCCTACTACACCACTACGCTTCCCAGGTACAGATGGGTCATTTACAAAGATGGGCATCTGGACGGGGAAAATGCTGTTAGCTTGTAATTCAACCTCTACATTATCACCAAGACCTGTGTTACATTATGTCTGACACTGTCTCTATTATATCACTTCCATTTGCTGTGTTCATCAAATGTGCCTTCTTCAGAATTTTTCTTTAACACATTTCCAGAAAAGAGAATTTTGGTATGGGTGTACTTCCCAGTGTAGTGGTGGAAAACCTTGTCCACTTTCTTACATATGTACCTCACAGTACATTCATATTTAATAGGTCACAAATTTAAGTGTAAAACAAATGCATTCCTCCATATGACCGAGCTACCATCAAGCCCCAGCATCAGAGTGCAAGCACTTCTAAGCCTTGGTTACAGGGAACAACTGACGATTATAAACCAGGTAGAGAGAGAGAGAGATGACACATTCTCGTCAACATTGTATGTCCACAATGTGACGAACTTTCCGTACTTACAAATGTACTTACCTGTAAATTTGCCCCCATTCCAGGCACCATGCCACGCTTTGAAAGTTGCCCCGACACTCACAGCTGGCAGCTACCCGAGGATGCCAACTACGTGACCTGGGACATCCGTCTGCGAGCTCTGGACGGCTACGATCGTCCCCTTGAGATCAGCCCTAGAGTGCCCAGTAGGATCTACTATGGAACAGGCAGCATGATTCACCAGTTCACAGCCACTGATCAGTGGGACAACATGGTCAAATGTAGGATTGAGGTCACCATAGAAGGTAGCTACGATTCTGTAGCTTGCTGTATCATCTTTAAGTGCATTTCCTGAATATTGAGAATCTAAAAAAAATAAAAATTAAGTTTACCATCTTGCCAATGAGATTCCAATGTACCAACCAAGATTTACAACAAATTTTTCATTTCTTACAGATATAACTCCTCCCCAACTGGTCTGCCCCGATGACATTATTGTTGAGACATCAGGAGAGTCGGCTATTGTCAGATGGGATGCTCCTGTAACTAGTGACAACAGTGGCAAGACACCCATGCTGACCAGCTCCCGCACACCAGGCTCACGGTTTTTCAAAGAAAACTCTCCTCATACCGTCACGTATTCAGCAAGGGACGAGGCAGGGAACCCATCCACGTGTTCATTTGTTGTTGCTGTTCAAGGTAAGAATTAATTGTGATTGTTTTTTGTCATCCATTTCTGTTAGAATTACATTTTGTTTTCCTTTTTCTGTCCAGAACCTTGTCACAGTACATTATTTTGATTCATTTGAAAAGGAAATGGAATTCTGTTGATCACTACAGGTCCTAAGTGCCCAGCCTTGGAAGTGCCCAGAAATGGCCGCCTGGACTGTAAGGAGGGCGATCGGGAGCGTGGACCGTGCACCGTTGTGTGTAACCGTGGTTACCAGCTGCTGTCAGGGCCTGCCACAAGTTACTGCCTGGGCAGTGTGTGGAGCAGCATCATCACAACATACTCCTGTGTCCGTAAGTGCTGTCAATTATGTTTAAGTACCTGGCATTTAATTTCACAGCCTGGAGGAAATCCAGAGTTCTCAGTATCTTTGAGTTTGGAGTGGAAACAATAGTAGAAGTGGAAATGCCAGTGTCTGGTAATGGATGTGATGCAGTGGCAAAGTGACCACAAAAATACCAAGCTTCACAATACCGTAAATCATCCAATACTTTAAAATTCATAGTACATTGTTCTTCTGGCTGAACAGATTGGCATGTGTGTTATACCATGGACTTATGGTTCTTATATGTTGGTAGCAGAAAATTATTGTTAAGAACTGTTACTCAATTTGAATTTTTAACGTTAATTTTCCAGGTGCCTCAGCCCCCAGAAGGCAGAGAAGGAGCGTCAACATGAGGTTCTCTGGATACTGCAGCAGTGAACAGTCCTTCCAGGATGACTTCCGCAACGGCTTGTACCGCAGCTTCCAGAACAACGGTCTGTGTACGTCCGGCCAAACAGATGCAGTAGGACTCTGCAACAGGGACAACTACAATGTTCAGTGTGGTCTGGAGAAACGGTCTGTGTTTGGGAGGCACAAGAGATCGGGTGATGGCGTGTCTGTTGAAATCCCGCTGGAGATCCAGCCGGATCAGTCTGGGGATGCTGTGGCCAACGTGGACGAGGGAGATGAGGTGCTGGATAAAGCAGTGGAACAGGTTAGAAAGGAAGCACGACTTCTTCTGGCATGTTTGTTTCTTACGTTCAAGAAAATGAAAACTGGCACTGTCAGCTCAAAGACGTTAGGTTGTCCTGTTATATGCTGATTGCAACATGCAGTGGAAATACATAGGTTAAAAGCTGAAATGCAGAAGGAGATACACTCAACTGTGCCATTGTAGCCTTACAGACAGTTTTGAGTGGGGGTTACAAACTCTCTTGGCTTCTATTGCTTTGTAAACATTGTCTGTTGTTACACTGTCCTTGCAAATGACACCTTTCTCTCTGCATTGTGTCACACTCTGCTGCTTCTTTTGCTGTCTAGTATCTGTGCCTTTTCCAATGCTTTTTCCTTGTCTTTCTCCCCATTCTCCCCTCTACTCCCTCAGCACCCTCCGCCAACTACCAGTTCTTACAATTATTATGTGCAGGTTGAACGGCTCACGGACTCGGGTGTGACGGTACAGGCGCGCGGAGAGACGTACGTCAGCACAAGTGATTCATTTACTGCCTCAGCAATTACATACGAGTGTGACCAAGGCATGGTTGAGGTCAACAAAGTTTGTGGTAAGATTTAGTTGTTGTTTGACTATTGACATGGGGCAACTGGCATTGCTATTTATGTTTTTCTGTGTTATTTTTATTTTATCTATGCCAATAATTTTATGGACAATTTGTATCTACTAATAATAGGTTAAACTGTGGCAATCCAATTTACCGGAGCACCAGTTCAAATTTTGCTGAGAAGAAGTGATTTTTATGTTGTTTATGATGAGTTGAAAACTTTACGTTACGTGAGAAACAACTCTGAAAGTATTTCATGCTTGTGAATCTGTCAAAGCAACCTCCAAACAGACTGAGAAATAGCATCGCTGGCTAATGAATGAAAGTGAGTGTTCAAAGTTTATCTAATTCAGGTGTTGTTGTGCTCTTATTGAAACATGTATCTGACTCTCATCATCATGTTTATATCTTTTCTCGCTCACGTGTAGTTACCTGTCCTGCCGGAACTTTCCACGATGGAGACAAGTGTACGTACTGTGTTCAGAGCTTCTACCAGCCTGAGGAAGGACAGCTCAGCTGCAAGGCATGTCCGGAAGGAACCATGACAGAGCTGCCTGGAGCCTACAGTGAAGACCAATGTAAGTTTACAGCTGATGCTTTCCACAAGATAAAATACAGTGGCTGTCTACATTGTTCTTACAAGGGAAATAATATTTTCTCACACTGTAGAATACTTGGCTGGAGAGCCTAGGTTTTATGTCTTTAAAAATGTCGCTTTTTTTCTGTCAGTTTCTCTGCGGTGTCTTTATGAGATCAAGTGAGTTGTATATGGAAGATGACTTGTAGACACTAAGTTTCATAATACATGTTACAGTAGGTACATGTGTATTTGGACTGTGGTGTAGTTTGTCTGATGGGCTTCCATTCTGTATTATTTGGTCTTGACATGCTTCTACCCTGAAGCCCGCGGATGATTGATTGATTGACATGCATTCAGGAATATCACAATACACAATCACTAACACAAAATCTTCTCTTCCCAAAGGCATAGTTCCACCAGAGCCACGGTCATCAGCTGGTCTCCCCATCGCCATCATAGCGGGGGCAGCCGGCGGAGGTGCTCTCCTGATCATCATCATCATCGCCATCGTCTGCTGTGCTCGTCGTGCCATCAGGGAGAAGGAGAATGAGAATCCGAACAAGAAGAACAAGAACGTTCAACAATTTGGCAACAGAGTTTACGAGCAGCCTAGAGGGGGGTCTGTTCCACAGGAAAATGTGTATGCTGAGATACCGGAGTATGGCTTCAAGGGAGATGTTTCTGCTGCCCCACCCCTGCCCGCACAGCGCAAGAGTGGCCCACCTGGTGAGGACACCTACCAGGGGTTACAAAAAACACAGGACCCCCCATACCAGGGCCTACAGCACCCCAGGCAAAATATGAAAGTCACCACTATTGCATAAACAAGGCTATATCTAGCCTATGTAGTGTGTCACTACAGATTATACTTTTAAATCATCCTAGGGCAGTGCATTTGAAAGGGGACAGTTGGAACAACTTTGTAACGTACTCCGGCATCTCAGCTACAGTTTGATAAATTGACAGCTTAAGATGAACCTATAGCATGGTTTGTAAAACAGATCACATCTAAAATTCATATAGAGTATTATTCTGAGCACACACTGAATCATTTCAATCACTTGATATGTAGTGTCCTCTTTATGACTATGAGCAGTCAAAGTGGCAACAAGTTGAGTTGTATGGAATTCTTTTACCTTTGTGAAAAACCGGGTTTTTGGCAACATATTCAAGACAATCATTACTGTCATTATTTTCATTATGTACACATGTACATAATGATGCATGGTCTGCTTTGATTTTTACTTTTCTATGTCTATTATTTTTCAAATTCTCTGCAGGGTGGAGGCTTATGTATTTGTATATGGGAACTATGACTATTTTGGGTACCAGTATACTATTTTTACTGGTAGTCATATAAAATCTGGTCTCTTGATAAAGTTGGTAAAGGTTTCTGTCTAATATTTGGTGGCCCTGAAACGTAGTATTTTTTCACACAATGCATGGAATGCAGTGGCAACAGAATGTAATTGGTGCTTTTGCCAAAGATTTAATCAACACATTTTGTCATATGCCAGTACCATGCACTGACAATAGTTTTGAAAGAGAAGAGGAAAAGAGTTTACGAGTTTACAGGATGTGTATTGAAAATATTGATGGAATATTTAATCATGGAAGACTGAAGAAGGGAGAAGTATGCATTTGTTACTGGCTACTGTCATTCAATCACTGGCTGAATTTGATATTAGCAGTGTTTATGAGTGAATCTGATGTTTGACAAAAATGATATTTACCTTCTATTAATCGTATTTGTATATTTGATTGCTACTACTGCCACGAGTGTGGGAATGAAACAAGATGTATACATTTCTGCTTGCTTTGGAAAACTGAAGCTATTTGATTCCCAAAGACAATCATACGTAAAATATACTGTAGATGCATACTATTAAGAAGGATATCTTGCAGTTTCCATGTTCTTCTGGAGAGTGATATTGAATCACCGTAAGGCACAGTTTCTGAAAGGACTTGGAAAGAGCAGGACATTTTTCTGCACATTCAGAAAATTGTTGACATGACATTCCGAGCCGTGGTCCTCAAATTTCTGAGGCTTCCAAAGACATTTGAATGTGTACTGTTCTCTTTTAACTTGTGTCACAAGTAAGGGCTTTGACTTCTTCATCCAGTATATGGTGAAGAAATTTGCAGATCTGAATGCAATGCCATCTTTAGCTCTGCCTTTTATAGAAGGGTCATTTTTACTGTAAGATTGCTCTTTCTACACTGTTTATGATAATACTGGTACCTTTTTCACATTTTATGATGCATTTGTACATGTATTTTACATCAAAGATGGTGTGATATTTAAGACTAGACAAAGGAAAGTTTATAAACCTGTGGTGTTGATGAGTTAGGGTTCTTTTAGAGTTATACTAATAGTATATAGTATTATTTGGTTACTCGGGTGATTGGATGTTATATAATCATGTGCCTTAAAACCTGGGATAGTGAGTGATTCAGAGTGAAATCTACATTTAGACTTATTGAAGAGATATACTTACAGCCTCATCTTTGTCATGTGCCACTGTTGCAAATGAACATGAACGTTCTATGTGCAAGACATGTTTGTTTTTAACATTGTACCTTCTTCTATACAAGTTCAACAATCTTACATCTTTTTCATAGTTTTTTCATTATTCATTTCAAATGGATGTAAATCTGCCTTGTAGTTTATAAAGGGATCTGTTGAATTACTATGGGAACATATGTTGTAATTTTTCTTTGAAATCAGGTCAGGTAAAAATATGCAAGTAGTATATAGAAGGGCTGTTCTTTCATGTCAATTTTCCTTACCCCTTCCATTTGAAAGTTTAGATAACCCTTTTTATTTTCCACCTTCCTTTTCTCTTGCTTCAAGTTTTCAATAAGCACAACTGTGTCATCCTCCCACGCCAGGGGTGCTTTCTTACCAGTAAGGCGTATTTGCCGCGGGATAGCTCTGCCGTGGGAGAATGAACTGTGTCTTAAATTAGAAGTGCCTACAATGGCAGTGTGTTGCTGGAACTTAGTGATACCCGAGATATAACTGTGCCTTTCATAGCCTAGGAGATTTTATTCTGTCAGAAATCTGTATATTCGGGTTGTTTACCACAACTATTTTGTCTGTATAGTCGGGTTGTTACTCTTCTGAACCGGAGTGTTATGAAGCTGAAATATTTTGCAATAAAGGTGTCTTTACTTTACTTTGATTATGTGTGGTCACTGTTATACTAGTACAATGTTGTTTTGCCTTACGATATTAATGTCGAACCAAGGACATTAGAATAATGTTCATAATGCGCCAAAAAACAGTTACTCAAGCAACTGGATATGATTTTGAAAACGTCTTGACGTTTTTGAAAACGTTTTGACGTTTTCAAAATCATATCCAGTTGCTTGAGTAACTGTTTTTGGCGTATCGTATTACCTGGATGTCTAACCTTCATCGACGTAATGTTCATAATGCAAAAAGTGTTTGCGTCTGAACTAACTTTGAAAACTGCGATACGAATGTGTAATTTACTAAAGCAGATTGGATCAAACTTTGAATCACGGCAATTCCTAAGACGCTGATCAAACATCCTGGGCACTTTTCACACAAACAAGTGGATCATAAATTATCACATGTGACCAGGTACACAGAGAAACCCATAATTGGGGTAGACAAGGCCACGCCATTCGCCCCTAGAAGCCCAGACGTGAAGAGAAATGCGGCGTTTGACGGGGTTGTTGCTTGTGCTGGTGGTCTGCCAGGGGCTGGCGACACCTTTGAGTGACTCGGTCGGCCCGGAGGGTTACTTTTCTGAAGAAGACGAGGAGGATTCTGACGTTCTGTCGTCGCTGACGCTTCTCCAGGACGACGTTTCAGGTATAAAGCAGATGAAACTGTCGTAAAATTGGTTTGTGTGGGTCTCTCTAGTCTAAGAGTAAAATGTTATGTTACCGTATAGGTTCACTGAAACGCCTTCTCAAAAGTATTTACTGCACTGTTCCATTGAACACTTAAACTTGAGTTTAAAGACACAAAGAAACTTTGCGTGAAAGCTCTTCTAAGTTTGTTCTAAGTTTGTGGAAGGCCGTGAAATTTTATCCTTGCAGTTAGAAGTTACTTGTATCTCAAATTCAGTCATTAGATCTAGATGGTCTATTTGAATTGCAGTTAGAAGAAACAGCATCTTTTTAATAGAGCGTGTTAAGAAAGAAGGCAAGAAAAAAACAACAGCCTAGACGCCGTTGTTTGTACAAGTGCTAGTCGGAGTGCTGTAAACCTTGTTACAACAAACAAAGTACAATGTATGATCGTTATCTGATCATTGACCTCACTGTGACAGATCTAAGTGGCTCTGCTATTGTCCTAGCGCCTGCCCACGGTGCAATGGTGATTAATATTATATTGGCGTCTAGACGTCTGATATATCAATGTGCATCTATTGCAATGTGTAAAATCTTTCTTACCGGGCTAAAATATCGATGTGATATACATGTACTTTCGTTGAATATCGTAATCCAGTCTTTAATACTGTTACAACTGCAATGGACATTTACCGACCAGCTACGCACTTGGTAGATAGATAGGCACAGCCAGCTAACAATTTGAAGGAACAAAAAATGTTATTAACGTCATGTCGCTTATCTCTACAGCCGAATGGTTGGTTCGGGACCAGTCATGGACTGTGGGGTCGTCCGGAACTCCCTACAGTTTCGGCGATATTACTTTAGACGCCGGGAAGGTGCTGGATGGCGACACCGAAACCTACTGGAACCCTTACGGACTGGAGCGGTACTACAACAACTGGTACGTCGTCCTGGACCTCAGGGTGCCCTACAGTCTGTCTAGTGTCGGAATCATCAACTACGGAGACGACATACACGACATTAAAGCATTCACGCTGCAGAAGTCGGTCAGCGGGGAACCTTATAACTGGGTGAACGTCACGAGCGAAGACGACATCTTGGCGGGGACGGACCAATGGCAAGAACGCGGCGGTTTTCAAGCGACGGCGCGGTACTGGAGGCTCCTCATCACCCAGACCCACACCGGGTGGCAGCCATGGCTACTGGAACTGGGGCTGTACGGGCACCGTGGTAAGTTTGGCCTGAGCTGTGTTACATCATGTAGGTAGAAAATATGATTTTCTACCTCCATACTCGTAGTTACATAGAATATTTGTACGGAAAACAGACTTCTGAATAATTATAAACATCGTCTGTTATTTTGAGTAACATTTATGACGAACTTTCAGCCGTTTTTGCAACATTACCAAAACGATGAAATTTCTGTTTTTCATCATGGTCGTTTGTTCAACATTCTTGTTCAGTTTTTACGGACACCCCGCCTGGCTACACCGTTCACCGGAATAACTGCATCCGGCACCGGAACCAGCTCGGCAGTGAGAGGAACTCGACCGTGCAGAGATGTGCGGAGGGATGCGACTCTCTCCTTGCGTGAGTTTCCTTCGTTTTCTATCACTGATAACATCTCAGACTATTCTGATCTTAAGATTCGGTTCAGTACTAGTAGTGTATCGATTCTCTCAACAATAGCAATGTGCAATGTTTGAAAGCTGCAGGATATCTTTAATTAATATATAGACCCCACCAGTATTTTTGGCTTAGTCATTTTGGCTTAAGTGTATTTTTTTTTAATAATTAAATTATACTTGTAACTGCCCTTGACTATAAATATCGTTTTCACATATGTGTTGTACATTACACCCCGCAGATGTCGGTCGTTTGACTTCAACTTCCACCACAAGACCTGTGCCTTCTCCACCGACACCCGAGAGAGTGCCGCCCAGGCGTACGAGAACTGTCCCGTCAGATACCAGCTGCAAACGGACTACTACGAGAAACAGGGTACGGTCATACCTCTCTCTTACCACGAGACATTTTCTTAAGAAAGAAAATACAGTTTCCATCTCGTCAAATTTTCTCTTAGTAGTTTATTTTCTTGTTAGTTTTAAACTTTTTTTCTGCCATTTTCTTTACTCAGATCGGCCACAGACCGAGGCAGTTCCAGGTAAGCTTTGCAATAAAAATGACAATTACAATTGTTTTCTTGCCTTCTATAGTCCTGCTAATGTTGAGTCTTATAATACAAAATGGATGGTTTTGGTTTGGTTATACGAAGGACGTTATATCTTTGGTTATTCATACTTTACAGAACCGGCGTACTACAACTCCTTAGACCACCAGTCTACGTTCACTACTCCTAACGGTCACACACTGGGCGAAGGTGTCGGCGGCTCGGCCTTACTGCTCGAATCGCGCCGTAACCAGTACGCCGACCTGGGGGACTTCGCAGGCACTTGCCTCGGCACCACCCTCAACTGCCCCCGAGGCTTCACCCTGGCCTTCTGGTTCAAACGTCCCGCCGAGGATAACCGCGCTCAGTACTACATCAACAGCGGCGGGCACGCCTTTACCAGTACGCGGGGGTTCACGCTGACCAAGACCGCCGCGGATCTACGCAATGATCTCTACAACGTCGCCGTCAACGGTCGTCAGTCTCGCCACGAGGCAAAAGTCTACCTTCCCGCGGGCAAGTGGACGCACGTGGCCGTCACCTGGCTGGAGGAACGCGGCCTGGAGATCTTCCGGAACGGGATGGTCCAGCTGGTACGCAAAACTACCCAACTATCTTTTAAGATTTTAAACAAGCATTCAACAAAGGTAGTACTAGTAGTTCAAATGCCTTTTCGTGACAAAAGTAGTTACCACCAAGGATAACCCTCACATACTGTACTCACATACTATATCTTGTCAGATCTTGTCAGAGTATTTTTGTGTGTCTGGCTTTATGATTAGTTCTCCTATATCTTGCAGTTTTCACCAAATATAAACCTCTAACGTTGTTTCCAGATTGCTCAGATTGAATCTGAGATCCCGCCCCTGGAGACCGACCCTCACACGCACCTGTACCTGGGCAGCGCCAACACCCAGCCGGGGGAGTACACGGGAGAGGCCCTGTTCGACGAGCTCAAGTTCTGGGACCGGGTCCTGCCTGATGGACAGATTCAACTCGCCATGATCCCAGGAGTAGGAACAGGTAGGGCTGAAGTCTTTGGGAATTTTCTTATCCTCATATTCTCCGAAACTTTGCTCTGTCCCACTTGGCCTGGGTGCCAGCCCCTACCGCGAATGAGTGATAATCCCTTCGGCCAGGGAAGCCATACGCCCCGCGAACCCCGATTGGCACACTGCCTCTAAAGGGTTTGGGCAGCATACTGGCTTTTCCCCACAAAAATCTATTGCTTATGAACGCCAGCGTCTGGCACCCAGGCTATGTCCCACTTGGATTTCAAGACAACGTTTATAAAAATACGTCTTTTGTTACATTCATAAACCAGCAAATTGCCTGGTGGGAGATGGGGCATCCTTCCGAGGAACCGTCCCTGTGACCAAGACAGGCAAGACGTGTCAACGCTGGGACAGTCAGACGCCCCATGAGCACGACAGGACACCTGCTAACTACCGGTCATCCGGACTGGAGCAGAACTACTGCCGGAATCCGGACGGAGAATCCGGAGTGTGGTGCTACACCACGGACCCCGGCACGAAATGGGAGCTGTGTGACGTACGAGCCTGTGGTAAGGCCTGATTCTGTATCCCGTATTAGGATTTTGATATTGTTGGTGCAAAAAATATCGGTATTCTGATGTATAGGTGAAAAAATCCTCCCATCAACACATGTAGATCTATGGTTACGATGCCAAAAAAATCACCATTTTGCATGATTTAAGATTTAATATCTCATCTAATAACCGCTCACAGCATGCTAGAATCTACCATCTTTTATCATGGAAATTATTTCCTGTTCTTTTAGTTTCTTGTATGCAGCTTTGTTTGCAATGGAAAGTTCTAAGTTCTAGTATAGATTTCTATGGTTTCCATTTTAGCATAGTACTCTCGAGATCTATGCTCGTAGTCAGTAATTCAAGCAATTCAGTCAAAATGACCCCATCTTCAGTGCATGCTGTAAGGGCAACAACGTTCACAAACTAAAATCTTGCCTCCATTTTCCAAGGATGTTTACTTTCTTGCTTTTTCTAAACAAATTTGTGTTATTCACCAAAGGAATGGCCATTGAAATATACGGCCTATTTCCTGTATTCCAGTCCGCAAATATTGCAACAATCATACCGTATGTCAGGGTCTAGTGTATAACACCAGGGGCAGTCGTCATAGTCAGGGTTACGGCAATAGTTCTCCTCTAGCCCCGCGTCAGGGTACTCGTCCGGCGTGTAGGTGTGTTTGTGTGGGGTTTGGCTGTCCCACCGCTGGCAGCCTTTGCCGGATACGGTGATGTTTGCTGGTCCCATGTAGTCATACACGGAGTTTCCATAGCATCTCTCAGCAGACTTCGTTAGAGGCTGATCACCTGTGGGTATGAATGTGGCCCAACGTTAAAATCATTCCTGGTTGAACGTTGATGCATACAACGTACACCTCATTTAGTCATGGACAGAATAGAAAACACATACCAAACAATGGACAATGCCAAAAATGCAAGACTAAGTAAAGGTACAAAGAATTCAGTAAAAACACAGGTGGTGTTGTGTCAGACATACCATCACCTTCTTTCTTCGGTTCAGCATTTGTCTGTAGAGAATTAGAGTTCTTGCCATCAGTATAGCATGAATAGTGTACGAACGAAAAGAAGTTTACTCTACAGCATATCGTGAACGTCCTGCTGCTACCCGTGTTATGCTTAGGTCACATTTCCAAACCGGGGCCCGGCCGGGCTGTTTGTATGAACGAAAAATCAACAATTCATATCAAGAATATACGGAAATGGTGCCCATGATTGTTATTAAGGACTCTGTGTTTTGTTGTCTTTTATATCATACTTTCCATTCCCAAAAGCTGCCCGGCCGGGCCCCGTGTGGAAATTGTGACCTCAGCTTTAGGCGTATATCATCATGTATGGAACTATGTAGACTAATTCAACAACAAAGCGAGGACCCCCTGCCTCTCTGAAGTAGTGTGTTCGCAGAATACACAAACAAGCAGATTTGTGCTGTATGCCGAGATCGAGAAATTTTACGTATTGTGAAGGAAATGGCTACGTTTTCCTTTGGGGACGTGGAACTATAGTTGACAAAAATGAACAGTCCTTCCTACTATCCTTTTTATCAAGCAAATATATGGCTTTAGTGCGATAGACTGTTTTTTTTTCAAAACGTGCACGCATATCGTTAAGCAGTCTGTCTCTTTGATATTATTCTTGGTACTTCTGGGAACTCATGCATTTCAACATTTGTACGAAATCCAAAAAGCTTAAGACAGTGTCTGTTCACAAAATATACTATACAAAGGCTACCCCGCTGATAAAGGGCAAACATCTAGGCTACATATAACAAATACCTTCATGCTTATCCCCATGTAAATTCCGAAAGTCACTAGTGCTATGATGGCGCCAGCTGTGACTGCACCACAGCGTAACCAGGGTCGCGACACCGACCGGCCACAAAAGGTCCCGCCTGGGAAGAAGAAAAATGATTTTGCCTATTTTAGATTTAAAGAACATAAATATTTTCTGAATGAAGACATGCATTTTCTTTATCCTGCCGTTTCCAAGATCTGAAGTTCGAGATAATCAAGTGTTGTTGGAAACTTGTGTAATTGTATAGCGCGCAGCTGACCATGATGATACAAGGTCCCTAAAGCTTCGGTCACAACCCGCCGTACGTGCTTCTGCGTGCTGTCTACGTGCAAAAACGTGGGTAAACGCAGGGCATCCGTGCGTGGTGAGTACCGCTTCCGTACGGAATCCTACGGATTTGGGAGACGCAGACACTCCGTAGAACTTTAAGTGCATGTAAAACTTTTTCTGCGTGCGGTCTACGGATTCACCACCCGTGCGTGCGAGTACGGGCGACGCGCGTGCCCCGTACGTACCGTACGAAAGACGCACGCGTGAGTATACGTACGGCCTCCTTATGGTAAAGTTGCAATCGCTCAGAGATTGTACGTTGTAAGCACGTACAACTCACCACTTGCGCAACGTACGATGCACGCAACCGCTCACGGCCAGACGTGTCATGCAGACCACAGTCTTACACCTTGTGAAACCGTGTGAGTGACGTGCGAGTGACGTGCGTCGATGCCACTCCTTCCCCGCGTTTTCAGAAAAAACGTAGCAGACGTAGCCTCCCACAAAACGTACGGACAAAAAGCACGTACGGTGGGTTGTGTGACCGAGGCTTAAGCTATTGTTCATGTAGCCTCCTTCGCAGACTTGTGGGGTGGCAGCGTTATATGTGTGTGTGTGGGGGGGGGACGCGAGCCATGCTGCAGAGGGACGGTTTTGCGGTCGAGGGAGTTTGCTGGGAGAGAGTTTATTTTTGGGGCTCTCCCGGGCAAAACTCTCTCGTTGGCAAAACCGTCCCTCTGCAGAATAACTAGCGTCGCTCCCAGAAAAGATTTCTGACTTACCCACACGGTCACCATACATTCGCCTCAGTCGGGACCGGTTGTCAACGGTTGCTCCTGCTCCATCGGATGCGCTTACGGCCACACTGGTCATCTGGCCACCAGACTGACCATCGGGAGACCGTAGCGCTACTGGTTCTGGGTCTTCGTACTCATGAGTAGTTTCACACGGTGTTGCGTTTTGCCCTTGTTTATCGGTAGATCCGATATTACTCTGTAGACTCTCTACCTTGACTGGTTCTGGCTCCTGGTAGGGGCCATTACAACGTACGCACAATCCCGTGTTTTCAGCCGTCTCTTGGGTACGGATGTGGTCATTGGCTGGCCGAGATTCTTGGATAACCGCCGCCATCGGATAGCTCAGATTCACACCCTGCTTAAGACCGAGAATAGTCTCTTCACTCCTCGCGTCTGCAGACCTGTACGCGACAACAGAACAGCTTTGATTGTCTGGCCTGTTTAAATGCGCTCACGTACGTATACGCCAACGCTATAGTCTGCCAAGATAAGATTTTACATGCATTATAAATAACACATTTCTATGGATACACTAACGTCAACAGATCCTATACTTTGAGTTTTGGAACAATACTTTGTTTAGTGCTCAATCTGCTTAAACGTTACATCCAACAACTAGGCAATATTTATATTGCCACTTACACAGCACAACGGGCTTTTCATAAGCATTTGGAAATGAAATTGTATAATTTTTTGTTGTTAAACAATTACGGTGCTTACTATGTTTACTTTCGCAGAAGGAAAACATATTGCTTTTGCTCTGTTTCTTCTTCCTCTTCTTCTCCAAACAAATAAGGTCAATGACCTGAACCAGACGTCTGTCACCGTGTTGGGTTACATCATGTTGCAATTTTACAGTGGAAGGATTTAGGCTCCTGTAACCATATGTGTTTGAGTAAGAATTAACAGAGCAGACCATATGCGAACGTAAACATTATGCTCTTACCTTTCTAGTTTCTACCGTTTCAGTTCAGCCGCCGGTCTGTGCGGACCAGCGTGACCACTGCCAGGCGTGGGCGTCTGAAGGGCACTGTAACAACAACTACCGGTCCTACATGCGCCAGTACTGCCCCAGGACATGCGGCTTCTGCTGTACGTATGCCCGTGCACGTGGTTTCAGTCGTAGCGATGGGAAAATGACAACGATGAGACCGGTTTCGACTTTATTTAGTCTTTCTTAAAAATGACAGAGATCGGACCACTCCTCCTTTTATACTTTTTACTGTGCCTCTCTATTGCAGGGCGTTCTGCTCGAGTTTAAGATATTGACCAATCAGCATTAAGCACCGCATTTTGCCCTGGTTTAGGCTGGATTGCCCTGATCTGAAGGTCAAGTTCACTATGCACCGAGTACTATGCACTAGGTTAGATCCCAGTGCACGTGGTTTGCAACGATCAATATAAAGCACAGAGGGACGAGGTGTGTTTGTGGGGGGGGAGGGGGTATATAGCAACGTTTTTATTCGCTGCTGTACCCCAGGGATTGTGCAGGAATTTAACATTTGATACGAAATGAAAGGTCTTTTCCAAAATATTAAAAATGCGTGCATGTAAGGGCAAATTACACGGCTAGGCTACCACGCATATATCTCAACACGAAGAGCTAGAACCACTTTTGATGTTTTATTTCAGCTGGAGGGCCCGAGCCTACGGACCCACCCGGTGACAGGGAGGACGATACGGTAGAAGCGCCAATGATGTCTCCGGGTAAGAAGACTTCATTTCTTTACGATCGCTTCTGCTATTCAAATCCACACATTACTTTTCACATGTATGCTGTTTGACTTACTAGTACATGTATAATGATCAATTCATTTCATTAAACTTTGCTAAGAAGTGCATCATTCAAGAAGCACATTCATCCAGTATTATTTATCTCCTATCCCCAGAACAAGCGTGTGCTGACCGGAACCAGTACTGTGAGAGCTGGGCATCCCAGGGCTACTGCCGGTCTAACTACGCCTACATGGTGCAGAGCTGCCGCCGGGCCTGCGGCTTCTGTACGGTGTCAGGAGGCGGATGTAAGTGTAGCAGAAATAAGGCGCATTCTACTGAGGTCACATTACCCCGCAGGGTAACGGATCTTGGGGAGCCGACCAAAGCTAACAAGGCTGGACTCCAGGCTATTGTTGTTTTTCATATCATACTTTTCGTTCCATAAGACTGCCCGGCCCGGCCCTGGTTTGGAAATGTGACCTCAGAGGAAGAGCTTGGCGGGGTGGGGGCGCTATTGATTTGAATTGCTGATTTCTTGCTACGAAATATTACTCATCATGTTGAGAAATAAAAAAAATTATGCGCCTTCTGTGTTAGATCCAATCTGCGCATAGTCTTAGAGGTTTATTTGTTTGTTTAGCTTACAATTAGGTTAGTACTTTCCCACATCTTTTGGTGTACATGCATAGTAACACCTCCATCTCCGCTTCTGTAACGTTAGCCCCTGGGCCACTCTACGGTGGGGGCTAGTCCACTGGTAGAAAACAACATTCAGCCAACAGCCAATCTTCCAGGTCCCTGTGGTCATTCATGTTTCTTTCCCATACCTTATCTCTCCAGCTACCAGTATGACTACGAATAACTGCATGGACAACCACTACCACTGTCCCAGCTGGGCTACTCGAGGTTTCTGCGCCCAGGGCACCTCCCACTACGCCTACATGATAAGGTACTGCCGCAAGAGCTGCAGGAAGTGTACCGCGGAGGGGACCGGGACTGGCTCGGGAGGACAGGGAGGAGGGGATAGAGGTATGGAGATAGAGTCAACGTGTTGTAGCGCAAGAATTCGTGTATATAACGTTACTAGATAGCACTCAGAAAGCATCCCCCCCCCAAAGTAACACAGCTCCCAATCTACAGAAAAAGTTTTTCTTGCTTGTGGTGGGGGGTAGTTGTAGTATCACATATGTCCCAGTACATTCTTGTTGCATACACCATTCAAAAGACAACGTATTTTATAAGATATACATTTGTACGCTGACGGTAATCTGTCCTCTCTCTCTGGATTCTGCAGGTAATCTTTGTGTTTAAATCAAACTTTTTAACTTTCCAGACTGCAGGGACACGCATCAGCACTGCGAAGACTGGGCCAGGCGAGGTGAGTGCACCAAAAACCCGAACTACATGCACGTCAGGTGTCGGCCCAGCTGTAGACTGTGCACCACCGGCGGGGGTACCGGTGGAGAAGAGACCGGCGGTACAGGGGGTGAGGGTGGTGATGGAAACGGCGGTGAGGAGACTGAGATGGAGGAAGAAGACACTGACGAAGGAGAAGAAGAAGAGGAGGAGGAGATGGAAGAAGGTAACAACTGTTCTCCACGTTTCAGTCTCAGCGATTGCACTACTAAGGTTTTCAGTACCAACCTGTATTACCCATTGGATAGCCTTTCAGCACCAAGGTGCAAGGTGGCACCTAGCGATTTGGTCAAAAACTGCAGGGACATTTTCAATGAGTGAGGACAAACGAAGTATGATCCTGGAGGTTAGAAAATATATACGCACATATGCTAGACTAGTATTTGACTTGTCTGGTTACAACGTTACCTCTGTTGACAGACTGTGGGATGCAGTACCTCACCGTATCGCCAGGCATCGCCCGGATCGTTGGCGGTACGGTGGCCGTACAGGGGGCATGGCCGTGGATGGCGTTCTTATACAGAAAGGAGTACGGACACATTTGCGGTGGGACCCTCATCTCCTCACGATGGGTGCTCACGGCGGCTCACTGTTTGACAGGGTACGTACATAATAAGCAAGACGTACTCATTTCTAAGTTGATTTAATCAGAATGGATTAATTGTCTTGAACAAGTTGTGTAGGTATGGACTAGGAACCTTTTTGGCAAGGTTGATAAGATTAGCTATTCGCTGGGGATATACGTTTTAATGAAAATCTTATTGATGCATTCCGTAGGCATAGGATATTCTTTATCTAAAGATTGTCCCCGTGATAAAAAAATACACCTTGATTTACTAGACTTTCTTGCGTGCCGAGCAATAATAACATGGCCCATTTCTCTGGCCGTAGATTCCTGTTAAAGTCTATGTCTCCTGGCTTTCAGCAACCTGTTTACCCATTGGATAGCTTTTCAGTACCATGGCGCAAGGGTGACACCTAGCGATTGCTTAAAAAATGCAGGGAAATTTTCAATGAGTTTACATTAAGAAGTGTCGCTACAGGAGGAGCGCCGATGAGATCGAGGTGTACCTCGGGAAACATCACAAACATAAGAAGGACGCCATGGAGCAGAGGTTCACAGCGGAGAAGATCATCCTCCACAAGGAGTTCAGTCTCCCGTCTTACAGGTATAGGGCTTACTTATATCCGATATATTATGTAACAGCCTCCAGTCTAGTTCCGGAATTCCAGATTGATTATGACTATTTCCCATATTTTACCAACCTCACATCTAGAATATCGTAAACTATAGGTAAAAATGAGATATGTAGCAGCCATCGAGGGCCCCTTGGGGATTAACCCAATTCTTCAGTTTTCAGAATTCTTCAGAATTTATCTGCAATATTTTTAACACCATTTTACGTATAGTTTACGATGTTCTAGATGTAAGGTTGGTGAGACATGGGAATAAGTTCGGAATTAAACTATAATTCCGGAATTAAACTGGAGGGTGTTAACGTCATGCACTCCTGTTGTACATGTAATATTTCTGGTTCATTTCACGGGAATATGTTTACCTTTACGGTTTGTTCAACTCACTTCATACATTGATTACAAAAGAAAAATGGAAATCATTACTTAGTCTCCCTTTACTGTCTTTGCCTTATTTGTAAACGCTAAACTGAATATGGTAGCACTACTAGACAAGATAGCATTGAGTACGAACTTGTTACCTTTTTCAGGAATGACATCGCCCTCATCAAGCTGCCTCGGCGGGCCATGTTGAACGAGATCGCCAACCTGGCGTGTCTGCCGGACGGCAACATGGCGGACACCACACGTACACAGGACGGCTCGTGCGTCACTACCGGCTGGGGAGACACCTTAGGTGCACCTTCGAATTCTAACTGACTAACTTTTGCATTACTACGAAAAAGACCGATCCCGAATTCCCATCACAATTTTAGGAGTTCGACCAATAAGAGAGTGGCTTTAGGCCCTTCAAATATTTGCATTTCTATATGTTTTGACGGAGGTGGGTGGGGCTTCAGGATCGGTCTATTGCTGTCTATATCCAAACATTGCAAACCTGCGAAAGAAAACATATTACATGAAAGCATGATACATTGCTCAATGCTCGTATTTTTTACGTTGATTATTTTTCTACGTTTCGATGTGTGCAGGTACTGGTGGTGAGGGCGCGCTGAAACAGTTGTTCCTCCCGCTCATCCCGACACAGAAGTGTAACAGCACCAACTTCTACAACGGGAGGCTCCATACCAGCATGCTCTGCGCTGGGTTCGAGAAAGGTGGACAGGACTCCTGTAGGGTAAGCTATAATTCACACAGTTTATGGTGGAACGTATTTGGAGTAAAATGTCATGCAATAGCGTCACAAACTATCTCAGTATATTTATTTATGAAGATTTCCCACATTAATGGAAGGATTGACATAACAGGTGACTATCACCTCTTCAAAGATGTAAAACCTGAGATCAGACTGAAAGGTCTCAACCACTCATACCGGGAAGGACCCTTACTCTTTTCGATAAGTGTGGTGGGTTCTTTAACGTGCGTGGGGTATGGCTCTCCCAATCATTTATACCTGATTGAAGAGAGGACAGTCGTGTAAAGTGCCTTTCCCAAGGATACAAGATCGGTGGCATCGAGGAGGATTCGAACTTGGGACCTCTTGGGTCTGAGCCGAACACTCTACCGTTATGCCACACGACCCCACCACAAGTAGTAAAGTATAAAATGGGACTGCTTAAAGCTACTACATAATCTTATATCGTCGCCTATACTGAAATATGAAATGTTCCCTCTACAGGGAGACTCCGGCGGCCCTCTGGTCTGCTCCATGGACGGCCGCTGGTATCTGATGGGCGTCACGTCATGGGGACGAGGCTGCGCACTGCCCATGCGCCCCGGAGTCTATGCCAAGGTCACCGAGTTCTCCGACTGGATCGAAGACATGATGCTGAACAACTGATCCTCTTCTTCTACTGTTCACAAAAATCTCAATCAAAGCAAGGCCGCGTACTGAAAAACTACTTATAGCCGCTTAATTACTTTGCATTCATTCATTCATTTGATAACGGTACGTTTTATTAGAGGACTATGATGTCTTTCTTCATAGATGCTGTTTTCTTTAGCAGCTCTTTTCATATTATCCACTACTGCTTCCAAATAAAGCACTATCCAATGTCTATTTCTTAACCATTTAAATCTCGCTATACGTTTGAAGTCGAGGTAGGAACGTCTATGTTACACTGAGGTAGAACTGGAGAATAATTCGGGAGCGTCTTTTTATCGAATGACCACAAATGACCACACTCCTTTAAACAAGTAAGCAGCATCTGCTGCAAATGCCAGTATCAACGGTTCATGCATTTGACGGTTTATTGAACTGCAACCTAATAATCGGCGACATGCCATATCCATAAATCCTCTTCGGACCAAACATAGTGATACATTCTGGTATATTGCTCCATGTTAACGTTACTGCCCTGACTTAGAACAAGGAGGCTATAGGGTTCATTGCTTAGAACAAAGATAATGAGCTGCACCCTGGTTACCGGGGATACCCAACTTCTTCACGTCAGAGAACCCTACCCCCTTGAGCATGGGTAGGACCTCTTCCTGCCCCCACATCGCGCCCAAGGCCGCGCCGTTCTCATGGAGCGACATGGGCACACACGACATCATACTGATCACGTAGATCATACTGGCTTTAGGGACGCCGATGTTGTCGCGGGGCTGCGTGTGTGCGTCCCGTTCCCACATGGAGTACTGCCCGCCCGGCTTCAGTACCCGGTGGATCTCCCTCAGAGTCCGCTCTGGCGCCGGCACGTCGTGTATGGTGGACAGGGTGACGATGTAGTCGAATTTCTCCGACCAGTCCTCGGGTAGTTTGGTGGCGTCTACCACGTCACAGATGACGTTGGTGATCCCTTTGGTGGCGGCCTCTCTCCTGGCCATGCTGACGGCTTCCGTAGAGACGTCGATCCCGTAGTACGTACTGTTGGGGAATCGTCGGGCCATGAGGAAGAGAAGGTAGCCACTGGCACAGCCGACGTCACACACTGTGATACCTGACTCTACAAAAGGACATCGTTATACATGTAAGATCAGCATGAGCCTTAAAGGGTACGTTAAAATGCACCCCACTTTGATTCAACACACAAAACAGGTTCGATAGTTTCTTTCCGCCATTTCACCGAAAATTGAAAAAAGAAGTTTTATCTTTATGACTGCTAACTTGTTAGCTATAGGGACGTTTTGGAGCGGACCTATAACTACGTAACAAGGCTGGACTTTAGGCCACGAACTTTTACTTTCTTGAGAACTGTAGTCGTATCTTAAGTCACAAGAAATCTGGTTCTTCTAACCTAGCTTCTCGATTAGCCCAGGAATGGTAGGAAGGAATTTGTCGATGAAGGTAGAATCTAGCAGTGGTCCTTTCACGTTCTGTAGCCATCCTTGGAAGTCCGGGTAAGCAGAGCTTGGTAACCCTGTAAAAAAACAAGTTCCATCAGATAAATCATAACAAATCACAGTGCGAATAGGACAAGAAAATGTAAAAAAACTAGAAAGGTAACATTTGCAAAGCAAATGCAAAATGACAGACGTCTGGTTCAGGTCATTGACCTTATTTGTTTGGAGAAGAAGAAGAAACGGTAAACATAAAAAAAAAAACCAATACACCCGCAAAAATTCCAAAGATATCGTATTACGAAACGGAAACAATATGTTGGAACTTGTCGACGTCACTGTTTTCAAGAGCTTTTCCTAAAACTCGGTTCCATTAAAAGTTTTACCATACCCGGAGGACCATCCTCCTTAAAACACTCCACCAAGTCGTCCATGACTTTCCCGAGGTGAACAACTCTCTCGGAGAAGGCTATCCTCAAGATCTCAGCACCGTCGGTGGGCGCCAGAACGGCCGCCCGGTGAGGGGGGATGAAGTACCGAGGGATGTCCGATGACGTGTCTACCTCTATGATACGGGAGGTGACCATGGATCCCAGCCACTCCCGGACATACCTGGATAGTACCCAGAGACATGTTGGCCATGAAAGCAAAATAACGAACTAACAGAGCACTTCCAAGGAGGTTTAAAATCACCTTGGCACTTCAAATGAAAGAACAATTATTCAAGTAGATATAAGCCATGTACTATGTGCACAAAGGTACGAAATCGTACAATATATGTAAGTAAGTTAAGCGGATATTATGCGACACTATTTGAATAATATAACTCCCAAACGTACAACGTAGTTCAGAGGTCAACAAAAACGCGAAAGTGAGAGCCCCAGAACCGTGGACAATCGATGATGTCAAAGTCTGCTTCTCTGACACATTATAGCTATGATTTACTTCTTGTTTCTTGTCAAGTTACACACAATACACTCTGTAAATGGCTAACATGTTAGCTACCTCGTAAAGACATAGTATTACGTAGAGTGCCATAATCTAGATCATTGGCTGTTCGGGCACCATACCGTACGGACACCTGTCACTCCAATCCCTTTTACACTGGCTGACACAGGCTCAGATATCCTTGTCTACCTCACCCGCCCACAGACTAATACACAAATCATATCAAAAGAAGACCAACACCATGAGTATTGTGTCCATACCTTTCCTTTAGGCCCGCGGCGGCAGCTATGTCGTGCGAGCTTCTCGGCCCCTCTTGCCTGGCCAGTACATCGAACAGGCCCGTCCTCCTGCCGATAGCGAGCGACAGGGTCACGAATCCTGACGTGATCGTGTCCGCGATCTTCTGAGCGAATACCGCCTTGGTTTCGTCGGCCTGGCCGTCGGTGGGACTTGTGCTTGCCGCCCCTTGTTGGTCCACGTTGTCACCCATGGCAGGCAACAAGCCTAAAGGCCCCTAAGGTGTAGTGAACTTTGACCAGGACTGCTGGAGTATAATTAATCACTGTCACATGCACGTCACCCGGGCTTCTGCAACAAGGCGCGTAACGTTTACGTTTTATTGAACCATTTTTCTGTAAAGATAATCATTTGCATCGATCCTATACTGCATGACTTGATGAATGGCAGGACAGTTGGGCTAATCTTTGGTCACAGGGCCAAGACTGACCATTTGTACGACTTATTACTATGGAGTGGTACAATAAATCCAAGGAGCTTTCAACATAGATAAGTCCAATACATAAATTTTAGATAACTTTTCTCAAACATTCAAATCTAACACAAATAGCATAAACAATGGTGAGATTGTCACACATCATTTAATTTTCCATTGACACAATCCCTCTGGAAGCCTGGGGTATTAAAGGGAGAAAGTTATATACAGGTCTAGCAAATATAATAAACATAACTCAGTATTTCCTGTAAAATACCAGGATTCCAATATTGTTGAAAACATTCTGTGCTGAAAGATAGATCAAAACAGTGCAGAAATTCCATCACCATCTTTCATGATTTAGGGAAATGAAGGACTTAAAATACATATAAAAACTTGTTACATGTAGTTGAATAAACTTGGTGAAGAAAACAAATCATAATCAACATTATCCTTAAATAGCCCATTTCTATTTTAAAAATTGGATATTTGCATTACTGTACAAACAAAACTGCTACCACAACCCTATATATCTTCAAGTCTTATACATTAGGTCATGCACACTCCAGTGCACCAGTCCAAATTAGTGCAGAAAGGCACCTGTGAAGTGCTTAGAATTTCATCAGGTATGGCAATGATCAGTAAAATTTTCCTTTTCAAATTTCAACATGCAAACACTGAAAACAATGAACAGTTTGCTACAGTCTGAACATTTGAAGGGACATTAATGGTGACTCTATGGGGGCCTGCATGCCCTTTTCCGTAGAGTGTAATCGGCCGTTTTAATTCTACGTAGACCATAGTCGGACCAGTCTAATTCAACATAGAGCTTAATTGGCGCATTTTAGAGCGTGTTTTGCCGTTTTAATTCTACGTAATGCATTGTAGCTACCCGGAATTTATCGTAAAACATAATGGGGGGGCTTCTTCAATTCAGTGTAATACGTTACAAGCTCTCAAAATTTAGCGTAGATCGTTGTCGGGACCCCCCATGCAGGCCCTCTATGTCTCCTCAGGTCGAGGTCTCTTGTGCCTTTCTTGGTCCTGTTGTCTTAACCTCTTACTCCGCCTGCGCACACCGTTGATGTTAATGATGACAAGTCGGCCGCCGCTCTGCTCCATCCCGTACTCTGAGTCTGAGTCAGAATCCTGAGGGTTATCTGTGCCCTGGTAATCCCACTGGCTGACATGTCCATCCCACTGGGTAACAAACAAACAAATAAGCAAACAAATAAACAATCAATCATATTTGAAGGTATGTGGAGCAACAACTGGATGTATAGTGCTCTTGTACTGTTAAAGTCATCAGTCATACAACTCCATAGCTCTATATACTGAATAATTCACATGCAACAGGACAATGGTGCTTTGATAAGAATAAACTCCCACTCACAGAGCTGCTGACAATCCGTACATCAGTTGGGTGCCATGACACGTCCCGAACACAGGCTTTGTGTGAACTGTTAAGGTTAATTAAAATGGCAGGCAACTTGACGGGTAACTTAAATTGGAGGGATATCAGAACAAGTCATGTTTTCAGGTAACATCCTAGCCTAAATGTCTTCTCACAAGAACCACCAATTTGGCAATATTGGCTAACACAACACATAGGTGACAAAGAGCATGTGTCTTAAGTGCTAGTATACAGGTATTCCAACCGTTGAGTAATACTAGACTCCATATCTGGCACTGTAACACTGAAAGGATATGTGACCAATCAGCTTGGCAACCATGTTTCCTGAGAGAAGGTCATAGACTGTGGAAGAAAAAGATAACAGGTGATTTTACACTTTACATACAGCTTTTGGTGTAATCTGCAATCAAAAATGTAATACAATTTCCAACGATATATATACATTGTATTCATGTGAGTTACCAAACAAGCAAGTTAGTACATCTAGATACAGTAGCTGCTGCAAATCAACCAAGTCTTAATGTCACAACATTTGATTATGCTTCTGTCTAGAACTGTTGCATATAATTTCATTATATTGTATGGAAAGGGACTTACTTATGACAGCACCAGTGCCACATCCAGTGTAGATATACCTCTGTAAGAAATCACACATGCAACTTGAAATCTTTTGCAGTAGGTAAAGTTGTGAAATACATGACTAACAGTACAATTTTTTCTTGACTCTTTCACAAAGAATCATGTAACAAAGAACAACCAGATACATCAGATCATGCCCAAACAGTTGCATGTCTTACCTGCCCAGTTGTGTGTACAGGTGAAAACCTACACCTGATGAGGGTTTTGGTGACATTATGGCCCCGATACGTCATCACAGATGTGTCACCCTTCAGCTTTCTCCTGCTGTTACGCACTGTTATTCACACAACACAACATTAAGTTATATTCAAGTAATGTCTAGGTAATAAATTTTGAGCATGCCAAACATCCAGCATTAATTACAATGTTTTGCAGTTTTAAGATAAAAAAAGACTTGAAGATGAGAAAGGAACAGCTGACCTATTTTGGGCACCGCCATCCACCTGTAGTCCCACCTGTAGTTTGTAATGGCTTGTCTCGTGGCCTGCAAAATATTTGATAATCAATCAATCTTTATTGCGCAACAATTGCAATGGATACAATGTATGGCAAGTGTTTAAATCAAAAGATAACAACAATACTAAAATCTACTTCTAGATACCTTATTCCAACGCTACCCTATAATTGTGAGTGATGAATTATACAATATATATGGAACATGGATAGGATCAGTCATTGCAGTTAGAAATATGGGAGACAAATAACACCAATTAGATATTATCATTGCGCAAAATGCACTGAGAAGGGGACTATAAGAAACAGTAAAGGAAAGTCTTATGTAATACATTGTAGCAGTAACAGTTATACTTGATATATAACTAACAAGATGACAACAGACATAGACCACTCTCTACACGTACCTCTAACCCCTCAGAAGATGAGAACTTTCTGACGTCCCAGAGTTTAATGGTTTGGTCTTTAGAGTTTGTGATGAGGTAGCGACCATCTCCCTGAGGATTGGAAAAGATGTATGTGTTATGTCATTTACACCAGTGCTACAGGTGTGGTTTGATGTACATGTACATAGCCCATGAAATAACAAAAAGATTAATCTTACTCATTGTGCCAATGGTATACTGTATGTGATTCCTTCTACATTTTTCCCACTGATTCACGGTACAGCCTACTAGTATTTCACCAAGGAAACCAACAAGAATGAACATTGGATGCTCTTCTTACTCGCAGCAAAATGGTTTCTGGTGCAGTACAATGATATTACATGATATAACTTCCAATCAGCATTTTGAGTGTTGGTCGATTAGGCTGATTTTTGTGTGCCTTGTCTACTGAGACTTGATCTACCTTGGAGTCGATATAAGTGATGCCATCACTGTGGCCAGCGAAGATGCCGACAGGTTGTGGGTCTTCCTCATCCAGAATCCTCCTGTCCCAGACCTTACACACACCGTCATCCCCTGCCGAGTACAGGATGTGGGAAGACTCGTCTGCAAACTTCACACTGTTGATGTCATCTTCGTGGGCATCCATCTGGAAGTGTGTTGAACATTATTTACAAGAAATGTAACCATCATTCTAAACAAGGTAGTTTCACTATAATTACAGGATCTCTTCCTATGGTCTAATTTCTGATACAGGCCATCTTTCTGATACAGGCACATTTAATGCGTATCATCAGATAGAATGCAACCTGTTTTTGTATGCCACTATGCAGATAGCCTTTGATTACTGGTAGTATACTGGTAGTTCAGGATGAGAACAATAGAACATGATTTTGATATGCTGTCAGAGTGCTGACTTACCATCAGTGTTCTTTGGTTTCTTTCTCGGTTGAAAACGTACATGTAGCAGTCACTGGCACTGGGGGGAGGGGATGAATAAGAACATATGGTCATTGTGGTCTCAGATTAAAGTACATGTACCTTTACCCTATAAGAGTTGCAACAAAAAAAATAATCATCTACACAGACTACTCACCCTCCAAGAATTTCCTTGCCATCCTGAGAAAAGGCCACAGAAAAGATTGCAAAGTCTCGTTCAATGGGGCTGGAAAAAATAACATGAGGTTGTTCGTATAACTCATGGGACTATCAGTGATGTTACAGGATTTCATCACTTGTGAGGTGTCATAAATGATGGGTGTTGTAACTGTGCATATTGAAACAATGCTTCATAACAGTACAAATGGGAGAGAAACTAGGTTGAACCTCAAAGAAAACTGCTGAGCTACACTATGTGACTCAGGCTTAATCTAAAATAACATGTGAGTCAAACATGAAAGCATGTTTGCATGGTCCCATATAATGCCTATGTGGCACACCTGCTCCACACCTGCATGCTATTGTTATACCTTACTGTAGTCATTCCAATTATGGCACACCTTCAACAAAGGCACAGTCACTGAGCCATGTTTTTGTCAAAACTATAATGAGATTTGACTGCATGAAAAAAAGAAGTTCTTCAAGTTATCATTGGAAGACAGGAAATGTTCTATTGGCGTGAAAACTCTAATCTTATTTTGAAAATACCCCCTACATATATGTCTGTAACTATTGTTCTTAACCTTTGGAATGTCTGGCTACTGATTCACTGTTGGTTACTGGTAAGACAGCAGGAAGGTTTACATTTCCGTTTGACAAGGATGACATTCCCACATAACATAACATAACATAACATAACATGACATAACACAACACAACACAACACAAAAATGTCTTTTACCTGAGGTCCAAGGCCATATGGGACTCCACATTCTTTGAGGATATATCAACAAGATGAACTGTAAATCAATGAAATATTACATACTTAATTAACAATTAAATGTAAGGGATCAACTTTTTATCTCGTAAAGAAAGGCAATTAGAGAAAAGCACAGATGGGAAGGTTGGTGTTTACTCACTGAAGTCTGACCAACTGGAGTATATAACACAGGAACCATCAGGACTGGGGAGAAAGAAACAAATACAAACGATCATACAACCATATTCATTTTGATAACAGGTACATGAAGACATTCCTGTGGACGGTATGATATGGCTGCACTCTTTAAGCACTAGTAGAGGTTTTGGTCAGGGGTTATTTTGTTGTTTTTCTACAACTCTATGTTTCCCAGTAGTAGTGGCCATGAATTGTAGGAAAGGCCACATAGAAAACAAGAGAGTAATCTTCAAACGAAATTTCTATTTGAAGTGCAGCAGGCTGAATAAAAGTTCTAAATGGGAACTACTAGTATGCGGCTCCAGATGTCTTGCTGAAGGACGACTGCATGTAGGAGATTTCGGTTAGCTTGAGGATCCTAGGAATGAATCCACTCTACTACATTCTATTTGAAGTGTTTTAGAATCTTCGTCACACCTGAAGGCTGTGTCCAGCACACTCCAGCCCACGTCTCGTGCTGTGATGCATCTCTTCTCTGTGAAGCTGCCATGTGACGTGTTGTACAGCCGGATCTTGTCATCTGTAGGTGAATAGGCATTACAGGGGGTTTGACAATTCCTGCCCATACTTCGTCAGAGAGAATTAGACTTTGTATAAAACTTAATGGCTAATGCCGTCTGGCTTATGATTATTAATTTATTTGTTCATCTACGAACTGAAACTGTGCCTTTTCTGCTGTCATAACTGGATCCACTACTTCTAGATCTTATAGCTTAGTACAACTCATACTTGGTAAAATGGAATGGTACTGATAACAAAATAATGATGTCACTGACCCTGAGATGAACTCAGGAAAACTGATCCATCCTTTGAGAATGTCCCACAAAAAGCCTTCTCACCATATGCTGCCACTGTTCTCATTCGATTAGGAATGAAGCTGAAGAAATACATGGTGAATGTTGCACAGATGATCATACTGGCATTATATGTCATAATGTGAACAAATGGCCTTGCATTGAGCGACACCGTTAAAAAAATATATATATTCTAAAATAGTGGTACTTGTAACTGTTACTTGAATATGAATCACTGTAAAAAGTTGCAAAATTCTTAGTCGGAAATAGCTATTTGATTTAAAAGAAAAGGATGCATGGAAAGCTGTCAAATAACATGTGTTCTGCCATAAGTTTGACATTTTATCACATCTACATGTATGACATACCTAGCTCCAATGGAGATTCTCTGACCACTTGAAAATGGACCAGAATTTGTGCACAATCCAAACTCCCTCTGGAAAGAAAAGAACAAGTCGAATGACCCTTAACCTATAAAAAAAAGAGGACCCCTTCATCGATATATGGCTAGTATGTGACTGTATTACTGTCGCCCGGCTTACTGAATACATGTATTTGTGTTAAACCAGTTATGATACACACTTTCATAACACACTTTTATAACACACATATCTTTGTACATTATGTAACGTTACCTGTTTCAGAAGATATGCAGTGCTCCCATCTAGAGTTGTGGAACCACATTTCAGAGGGCTGACACTGCCCACAAGTGTATCCATCCCTGGTCAACTTCTGCAGTAAGCTAGAGCTAAAGAAAAAAGAAGTTAACATCGCAACGTCACAAAACTAAAATGCTAGGACCGGGTATCGACCTGATCATAATTCTTGATCTGATGAAGCAGACTCGATGAAGTCACATAAAAATAGCATTTGTTTACAAACACAGCCCACCTTTACAAAGCCACGGTTGGCTCCAAAGACTATCCCTGCATAATCTTGACAAACGGAAGGTTTTTTAGACAAGCGTTGGTCGGACAAATCCGACAGAGATAGACGGAATACAACAAAGAAAAGCGTCGACTCATCCTCCCATCCTGTGGTCTGCCGCTTCGGGCAAAAACATGGCGCGAGATAAAAACATAACCTTTGACCTTTATGACGCAATTCCTCTGGCTCCTTATGGCTCTCCACTTCTGTTGCGGTTAGTGTATCGCAATCTTAGCTAATAACGCTGAAAAACCTACTCATAGTATGGGGAGCGTATTCATACCAGGTTAGGACCCAAATTTTGCGGAAATAAATGTTTTCAGCTGTAACAGAGCTATCATGTGACAAAGACTATACCATTAGATACTGTAGGGTGATACGAAAATGGACCTTTTTTGAAAATATTCCAGTTTCGAGTCTTTTTCAAACATTTTATGAATATGAAATAATAACATATACTTTTATAACAAAGTATTAGATGAAGTTCGACATGGGTTTCTAGAAACTCAAGTTTTCCTGGAATGCCTACCCTGAAAGCTCAGTAGTATCGTCTGAAAAGTTTTTCCGCGGGAAAAAGTGAACTCTTGGGAGAAGGAGACGTCTAGCTGTGAGCTCGCCAGACGCGCCCAAGAAGACTGTGCGTAAGAACGGAGGCTTCCCGCATCCAGGCCGGTGTCTTAGGCAGACTTACATGAAAATAGCAAGAGTGGGTAAACAGGAAGGTGAGTGCGATCTTTTGTTCCGTACCGTTATCTTAGAAATTCAAGGAGCGTGGAAGTGCTAGATCTAGAAAAGACGCGGGTAATTTTTTTGCGATTCTCGCTCATGCATGGACATGCCTGTCTAGGATTTTTCGAATCATAAAAGTAAGAACTAAACGGTCCGATTCGTAATCTAGTCAGGTTTGAACCATTTTAAACAACGATGTTTTTTTTCAATAACAACAACTTCAGGTGAAATTCGAAGTTCCAAGACGGAAATTCTCAGCTGCAAACCAAATATCTTGATACTAGTAGCTGAAGCTAAGCAAAATAACTGTAATCTAGACATCTCCACTCGGTTGACCACATCAGATACTAAAAGTACTTGTTAGAACAATTTGTTATTGAGGTCCACAAATATTTATGCACAATTTGTTCGTTTTCTTTGTAGAAATTCGTTTTGACCGCGTGGCATCTGGTGCCATGCACGGCTGTTTTTCTGGTACCCCGCCCCGCGTCCCTTGGGTATTGTTGTCACTCTTTTGGCGCGAAAAGTCCAGGAAGTCGCTTCCTCAAAACAGATGTTGGTTAATGAGGCAGCAAATTAATCATAATCGACTGTCTGTGAGACCCTACAAAGTTGATACAAATGTATCTGGTTTCCAGATTAATGTATGGCAATCAATGGAAAAAGAGTTACTTTTAATTGTCATCAAGTTCAGAAACACCATGTCACTCTTCTTCTCTAAATTTAATATATTTACAGTAAATTGCCAGTGTTTTCAGTAGGAAGTTTATTTTTGATGATAAAAAATATGTATAGGGAAACAGCATAATTTTTGCGGGTGATGAAAGCTCACACAAGTAATTTACAACCTAGTGTTTCAAATAAAATCCTTTGGTGAAGAAGAAAGAAGCAAATTATGCTAATTACTGACCTCATATTCAGGATTATCATGATGTGACTTTTCTGATAATTTATTCACAGGCTTGTAAGTTGTAGGAAGAGTCAAGATGGTGAGGAACACTTATGGAAAGACAGCGTGGGGCGGGGCCTTTCTAGATGCCCTTGGGTAAGTCACAGTTTAGTCTAAGGCATTTTTTTCTGGCAAAGTTTAGGACATTTCCTATTCAATAACATAATGACAATTTCTCTATCCTGTAACTCTGGCATGTTATCTATTCAGATCTTTCAATTATTTTCATGCAAATTTGGGGCATCGTTCTTTCATGTCTGTAATTTGCATAGCCACCCTCAGTATTTCACAAGGTCTTGTTTTGCTTTTGATCATGTAAGTGTGAAATACTAGTAGACTGACTTGATGGTTGATTTTTGGTGGATGGTTTATTTCAGACATTGATTTGAATTTTCCCGTCTGTGTGATTGCAGGAACCTGGATACAAATAGACGACTTGAGCGAGGGAAGAGTTACGCCAACACAGGGAAAGTGCTGAATGTAAACATCAATGGACCAAAGGTTAGGTGCAGTAAAAGATATAGATCTAAGACTAGTAAGAGGGGACAAAACAAATAGATAACATCATTTGTGCATATGTCACCAGTTCAAACAATTTCAAAGTTTCAATGCTTCCGCAAAGTTTGACAAACTGTTGAGCTTTCAAAGTATTGATATTGTGTCTAAGCATGTGCTGTTTGTTTTGATGTGCAGAATAACTGAGAATTGGTATCAGCAAGGACATTATACACAGAATAATGTCCTTGGTATCAGTATACTTAAGTACTGAGCTCATACATTTCCAATATCATGACATGAACTCGGTTATTTGGGGTCTCACACATGAGTATCATTAAGGTTTATGTAAAGTTCTTATGTCTTCTTAAAATTTATATGCATCATGGGCATTTTGACTAAAATGGATTTCCATGTACAAAATGCATTCATATTGAAGAATCTTGCAGAAATTCAGAGGTTTCTATCCAAAGCATTTAACATGTGCATGCTTCCATTGAAACCCAGGTCTCGGCCCATGTCCAGGGAACCATGCCTCGCCCCTACGAGGTGAAGATACAGTTCCAACTCCTGGACCATGCTGAAGTCCAGCGGGTGTATGATGTCATCAATGAGAACCCCCTTCTGTACGGTCAGATCATCAACGGTGATCTCCCAGACGAGCTGGTCGACACTCTTGAGGAGGTGATATTTCCATCTCATTTTACCAAGGGAAAAGTATTGTCATTTTACCAAGGGGAAAATGTTATGATTATTGTAGATCTTACAATGTAATAGAACGTAGGTGCAAAAGGAAAAGCTAGATGTTAGTAAAGCTTGTACTTTCCTAAATGATGTAAAATCGGGCTTCATGCATACAAACAGAATTTGCTCCAGACTTTCTAAAAACTTTTCAAAATCTCTTTCTTCAATCCTCGAGGTACAAATTGTACTAAAGGGTTAATGCACTGCCCCGAGTTGTATATGGTGTCATAACTGCATGAGCAGCTGCCATAACCACCGAATACTGTAAGTCTACAAATTTCCGCGGTATATTTAGATTCGCGGAATTCGCGGGGACCTCTGTACCGCGAATCTATTACCCCGCGAATATGTTTTGCGTAAGTGCGCCCCCCTCCCCACATGCATTCACGACGGTAAGCGAAACACAAACACACGGAACAAACACAAATCACTGCTAATCAACTCCATTCTTAGCAAATGTACGTATGTTGAGTACCAAAATTTTTTAAGTTATACTGATGTCAAAAAATTATAATATTATGAGACACCGAATCGTGATACTGCGGCACTGGCCGTGTCAAACGTGCACCGCCGGACAAAAATCTCTGTGTGCTGAGCGCCGGCCATGCGCGCCCGGGCGGTTGAAAATTGCGGGCACATCGGGCAAATCTACAAATATTTTGATGAAAAATATAACTACTGGTACCTGGGAAGTGTTAGTTGGTTCTCTTTTGCGCCCTGCTTTGCGGGCGTTTTTTTTTTCTTGTTTTGCTGGATAGAAACGCTACCGTGGGCCGCTACAAAACCGTAGGCGACCTTTGCATACTTCCGGGTTCAAAATCTCGCCGAAGACGGCATAAATATTCTTAGTAATATATATTTTCCCGAAAGATTCTTTCGATTATGCATTTCTTCACTAGAGTATCGATGTGTAGTCGTGGAAAATAGCGTTTTAGCGCTTATTTCCGAACAAAGAAAATTGTTTACACGTGCGTCAGATCGATCGTCAGCTATACCGCCGGCAGTCTCGCGCGGTGCACGAAACAAATTTTTGCGTCGCGTTTTAGGATATAAATGCCGGAACACGAACTTTTATTATTTTAAATATACACTTTACAAATTTTTCTTTGAAAAATAGCCAAGGAGAAATCGCGAATCTAAAAATACCGCGGATTGTCCATTTTCCCGAAACCGCGAACTTTAGGCCCCGCGAATCTAAAGAGACTTACAGTAAACCACCGTGTGAGCGAAGCGAACGAGGTGGTTTATGAGGTGGTTATGGCAGCTGCCCATGCAGTTATGACACCATATACAACGAGGAAAAGGCAGTGCATTAAAATTATTATCATATAGCCTATCCAAACTGTCAATCAACACAATTCCTGTTTGAAATACAACAGCTTTAATATATATACATACATAAAAATACATTCGAATATATTATACGCTTTAAAACAAATATGGATAATTTCATTTAATGCAAATTGTAGTTTAAATGAAGCTAAACAAAAAAGTTTATTGGACAGAAAAATGCTACAAAGGTTTACAAAAAGAGTCGCATGCCCCTATACCCTATAACATAATGGTATCAGCCATAACACGACATGTGCTGTTATTCCGCCATAACACCACATGTGCTGTTATCGGGAAATAACAGCACGGGTATCCGGGCCTCTGATTGGTCCGCGCCGTCCGGCTATATGATAATAAGCTTTAATGCATGTGTGGGCTCAGGCTTCAAAGCAATATGTGAATTTCATGACACATGAAGAGTTAATTTTACTTACTAGAAATGTAAATTTAGTAATGTGCCCTTTCTCTCCAACAGGCTGACATTGACTTACTTCCAGCCAGTTGGTATGATATGAATGCCCGGTGCAAGTGTCCGGATGAAGCCAACCCCTGTAAGCACATGGCTGCCGTGTACTACCTCATCACCTCAGAGATCGACAAGAACCCCTTCACCCTGTTTAACCTGAGAGGAGTGGATCTGATGGGGTACTTCAACATCAGCCCTTCCGACACTGATCCAGGGTATCCACTGCCACTCAACAGGCCTAGTAGTATGGTACGCCTTTTTGTGTGATACAGTGACTTTCTGTGTAACACAAACTATCCCTGTCCAGGGATCTATGGCTTAACTAGGTGATGCTAAATACTAGTATCCCATATAATGCTAGGGTTACATTTCTAGGTTGGGGCTTAGCTGGCCTGTTTGAAATAAGGAAAAAAAAAGCTTATTAGGAATGTCCACAAATAATGCTGATGATTAATTTTTATACACTGTGTTTGTTTTGTTGTCTTTTATATAATACTTTTTATCATTATAATTCCCTCAAAGTGCCTGGTCAGGACCTGACTCAAAAATGTTACCCTAGTGAACAGATAGTTCAAATCAATGATCTACCCATACCCACTGTTCCCCTACGTACTGTAGAAGTGCACAACTTACAGTCTTACATTTCCTTCATTTCAGCAATCCACAGAGACTGAAGTCAATGAGAACCACATTCTGCCCTGCCCTTTGCTGAAAATCCCTCCAATGTCTGACTTCATCCTGAGTTGTCTGAAGAGCAATCCTCCCTTCTCATTGGAGCTGGACTACAAGTGTGTCATGGAGGAGTTTTACAGGTAACAAAACAACAAAAGTTCTTACTACTGTGTTATTAGTCTGAACTAGAAAAGTAACATTTGCAAAGCAAATACATGTTTACCTTCGCAAATGGTCTGCTCTGTTAATTCTTATTATCATGGCCAGGTGGCGTTGACCAATCAGAAGCCCCCATTCCATATTGATTACTAGTATGACACCATAATGTCACAGTTAGCATTAGCTGCGCTCACTCTGTGGCTTTATTCGGTGGTTATAGCAACTGACAAGGCTTTATCACACCATATTCACCTCGGGGCGGGTCATTAACCCTTAACTCAAACACATTCACATATATGGTGACAGGAGTCTAAATCCCTCCTACTATAAAATTGCAACATTATGTAAACCAACACCAGTTACCATGGTGAGAGACAGTCTGGTTCAGTCAGGTCAGAGGTCACTGTTTAGAGAAGAAGAAGAAACGTAACAAAAACAATATGTTTTCTTTCGGTAAACATAATGATGAAACATTACTGCCAGAAGTTGGCAAGAAAGTTGCATCACAGTATAAACTATCAGTGAACGATAGCAGCATCAATACATAGTCAAGACATGGTGCTCTTTATATTGAATTGTTAAAAGTTGTCCCAGCCAAAAAGTTTTAAAATGTGAGTGCAGATGAACTTATAGTCAGAAAGTTGATTTTTGAAGTATGAGAGTCTAAGTGAATAGCTGGTTTTGTAAACTTTTCAGCTATGCAGCCAAGCAGAGTACAAAGGTGCTGGATGACCTGATGAATCCAGGGAAGGCAGGCTCAGCTCACTGGCTGAGTGAACTGGACTACGATGAAGTACAGAACATCATGTCAGCTGCAAGATTCCAGCTATATCTGGATGCAGAGTACAGTGATGCATTTACTACTAGTAATACATAGACAATGAAAAAACTGTCAACAAATTTTATCCCCCTTGGTCTCGCAACGCCTTTGGCTTGTGTGTAGCAGTGAACTAATGAGCTAAGTTTTGTTTCAACAGTAATGAGAATTTACTGTTAAAGTTTGAGCATTTTTTTCTTTTACTTACGTGTATCTGTTATTTTCCACCAGGTTTGATTATACCGGGGCTGAGTATGCACCACAGCTGCAGATACACAACCCAGTCTGGGACAACCTATCTGAACATGAATCGGAGAACAAAGAATGGGAATTCATCAAAAGAGTGTTCAAGGACGAGATGCCCTCATATGATGCGGTAGATATTGCACGCTACTGCATGTTGCGAAGCGATGTTGTTAAAATCAAAAACAGGCAATGGAATGAAAGGCAATGGAAGGGGATGGGAGCTATTCATGACAGTACCCTAGTCAGAAATGTTGATAGTTAAGATACAGAACAACTTGAATAGAAAACGATATTTCATAACACCACAAATGAAGAATTGTGTCACTTAACTTTGTATTTGGCTCGTTCTCTCCCTTTGGTCTAATAATGGTCTTGTTGTTTTTGTCCTTACAAATACAGGAATTGATCTTTGTGCAAAAGGACGGACACTTAGAAAAAATAGGAGAAACCTGGATGAAAGTTGATCTCTTCACAGCCATGCAGCTGTTCCTGTGGCTGAAGTCTGACTTCGGCAGTCCTTCCTACAGGTTCTTCTTTTACACTTGCAGGGTGGCCTGGATGCTTATGATAAACCAGGTAAGTACAATGTCTCTGTTTCTATATATCTGCATTCTTCTGCATTCGTTTTTGCAATGCTAGTGACATACTCTTCTATGGGATAAGTGAAAGCATTGGAGTGTACCAAATGATTTGTACTCTCCAGGCATTCATCCCTGATGTGCTGCCTTTGAGTCGACAACAGCAGGACAAGATTAAAGATTTCAAGATCATCTGGAGGCCAGCACACACTGCAGAGCTGGTGGCAGAACAACTGGACAATCTCACCAAGATTTACCCTGAAGGTAAAAATATTTAACTGTGCCTTGTCATTGTCTATTAAAGATTGTTACTAACATGATCTAAGGTAAGACATGGTAAGATAAATCAAAGATCTATTCATGTACTCAGCTGAAAATGACCAGTAAGGGTGCTGATGTCCAGGCTGCCTATATGCCTATGTTAGACAGAACTGTTGTAGAAGGAAATATTATGCTGAAGTTGCTTGATTTGTTGTGTTGCTTAGACAACCCCTGTGTTGAAGTGGACAACATGCTTCTCGGTGGACATTCTGCAGCCCTCCATGTGCTGTCCACTCTCCTCACCAGGTTTGTCACGGTGAGAAAAACAATTGATTCATGATAAAGTTTGTTCAGATACTTTTGTTTTCTGCACTTCTGACAGCTGATGCAACAATTCCACCACAGTATACATTTTTCTTGTCCCCTCTCCTAGGATCTACACTTCATGCACAAGAAGTCCAAGAACAACCCTCCTCCTGAGTCACTGGCGTTTTTCCGTGGTAGTGTGTACAACATCAGGTCCATTGCCCAACAGAGTGTACCCCGGGCCATCGCTAAGTACTTTGGTGACTTCGACCTGATCAAGACAGACCTGGAAGTAGCTGTCCACATCAGTCCCCTGAAGACTAAGGGATTCAAGATCAAAAATGAAGTATGTTCTAGTCATGATTCTTGATATCACCAGATCTCATATCTTTACAGTTTTGTATAGTTATATATGGACCATTTGTAAGAAACTGACAATGTTTGGTGATTCTGATAAATCCACTTTTTCTTACTGTAACTTGTATTGACTATAAGAAAAATAGGATATGCTCTTGACTATATTGCAACAATCATGCATTGTCAATTCTCAAATATTTGTCTCTGAGTCTGTTAGGTAACTAAAACTCATTTCCACAGGAGCTGCCGCCCCCAGATCACTACGCCATGGAATTGTGGGTAAAGATGATCGACAACGACATAGCTCGTCACAAGCCAATCAGACGCTTCCTGATGAGCAACAGTTGGGCTAAAGCTCAGGTAACAGGGCATCTTTGGAATTCTCATTCTGCAGATGCTTTTAACCCAAAACACATAACCAGAGTAATGTCTTTTAGAAAAGCTAAGATGTTTTGAAAAGGCAAATTATTTCTCTATTTCAGGGTGTAAATTTGAGGTTTATGAAATGTTTAAAGATTTGGAGTGCAAAAGACCACATTTGTAAAGCAATCATACGACATTACCACAGATGACACCTTTGAAAAAAAGATTTAAAGCCTGATTGCCTGGTACGTTTTGTCTCATCCCTTTTTCCCTGCCCCAGGCCATGAAGTTCCTGGCCACCCTGCACTCCTACCTCCCCCATGTTGGACGGCTGTTGAAGGAAGACTCCATTGCCTTGACTGCAGGAGAACTGGAGGACTTCATCTTAAACACAGTGGATGTCTTCAACAACCTGGGAGTCAAGGTCATTCTCCCAAAGGAGCTAAGGTAAAACATAACAACTCACTCAAGTTTGAACATACTCTAGAATATCTGACATTTCTAAGTAGTTTTGAATATTTTTTTCTTGCTGTACTGGTTGGATTGCTAAGTTGAGACAAGTAGTGTTGATGCATAAAAGTACTTAGTAGCATGCTGCAACTTGGGTTCAGTTCCAATAAGGAACTTAATAAAATATCTAGGAAGCACCCTTCTCCATTCTATATGAATAGAACTGTGTAGACATGTTGTGATTCACCTCAACTTCAGTTATGAAAAAACTGAGCTTGTCTTATTCCTTTCACTACAGTGTAATTCTCTTTAGTTGTCCCAGTAGTGGAGAATTGACAGTTGAATTCAAACGAGTTTTAACACGACTGTTCTTTGTTGTTACCATTGTCCAATAGGAAGATCCTGAAGCCCAAAGCAGTGGTGTATGCTGAACTGGAGGGTTCTAAGAACCAGCAGTCCTTCTTCTCCATCGGTGACCTGCTCACGTACAACTGGAAAATTGCCATTGGTAAGTGCCTGATAATCCAATGGTTTATAATTTGCAGCAAAATTTACATAATAAAATGTATGAACAATTTTTTTTTCAGTTTTCAGTGATGGAGAAGACAAATTTCACTGGTGCCTTGTAACAAAAACTTTCTTGACAAGGCGCCAGTTATTCTTACATTGATTGTTGTGGACATAGTTAAGCACTGTTTACATCATATTTTATAATTATGTAAATGTCAATATGCTCTTAATCTACGTATCTGTAAAATTTCAATGCAATTCAGTTGTGTATGAAGAAATTCAGCACGTCTGCAAAGTTGACTTTAAATATGATTTGATTTGATTTGATTTGATTTAATATTGCAGGGGATGAGTACATTGCTGTGCACGAGTTTGAGAGGCTGGTGCAAAGCGGGGAGGGACTGGTCAGGTTCAGGGATAAGTACATCTCTGTCAAGCCTGAAGAGATGACGACTATCCTCAACAACGTCAAACAGGAGCCACCTCAACCTTCCCCCCTGGACCTGCTCAAGGTAATGGCTGGGTGGACAGACAATAAGACTTCCAAAAATAATATTTCTTCTAAGTATAAAACCCACCTATCATGTGGGACTATGTATTGGTCACTGCCTCCAATTATGTGCATTGAAACATTAAATAGATCTCTAGACCTTCTATGTTATCAAAACTGTGTGTTTTCTTGTGATTAGCCTTCAGGCAAGAGTTTGCAATGAAGTTTGAATACAGTTAGTACTAGTGGGGTAGAGAGTTGTCACTATATGATACTCAGAACATGTTATTGTTGAAAAACTAGAAGGTACCATCACTATGGCAAAAATATATACTGTAACTTTTTTTTTTACAAATATCTATGCAGGCCTTGTGATCTCTTGTTTGTTTTACTAAAGTATGTTTTGTTTTTCTAACCTCCAGGAGTCCCTGTTAGAGGACAGTAAGTTCCACTTGTCAGCAAGCCTGAGTTCTATGGTGGAGTCTGTGAAGAATGTGGAGGAACATCCCATTCCACACAACCTGCAGGCAACACTGCGCCCGTACCAGGTCTCAGGATACAGGTGGCTGGTCTCCAACATACAGCACGGCTTTGGGGTAAGTTCTCTCAAAACAACCATCCACAACAAAGCTGTATCAAGTTGTTCAGAATTTCATGCAGGTGTTTGAAGTGTTGTGCATGTGAACACAATTCAATAGTGATTCTTAGTGATCTAAACAGACCTGTGCTGTAATGTATCATAGGTTACTTTCTCATGTGGATGGTTTCAAAGAATAGGGTAGTAAGGCTAGTGGACATGAGATTGAGAGGTCCGGGGTTTGATTCCTGGTATTGCTGGTAAGCTCGTGTCCTTGGGAAAGACCCTTCACAAAACTTTTCTCACACCATCCAGGTGTAAAATGGGGAAAAGGTGGTATAAGAAGAGGGATGGGCTCCACCTTCCAATACCATGCTCCTTGACACAGTGGATTAGCAACCCACTGCCAAAAAGGCTATGAGACTACCTTTTTGTTTTTAGACAGTAACTATTATCAGTCCTTTGTTTTATTACTCGCTTATCTCTCTCACTTAATCCTTCAGGTGATCCTAGCAGACGACATGGGTCTGGGGAAGACTATCCAGTCGATTGCTGCCATGCTCCACCTGAAGAATCGGGGTGACCTGAAGGACCCTGTACTACTTGTCGTCCCTACAAGTGTCATGAGTAACTGGGAGAGGGAGATCCAACGCTTCGCACCCTCTCTTACTGTCTCAAGGTCAGTAGAACCTATATCTGTCATTTGTAAGGTACAGTGTATTACAAAATATATTTAACTTATATATTTTAAGGAACAGATGTTTGTGTTTTCTTTCATCAACCATGAAAATAAGCCTGGAATCAAAATTAGATTCTATTACATCACAGGTTACATGGACAAATGCTTTTGTTTCAGATTAATCTATTATAGTATTGTTAGTTGCAGTTTCCTAAGAGGTTCATAATAACATTTCTGAACAATGCTGATGTGTTGACTTAATATGCAATAAAAAGGTTGGTCCTGAATATCTTAAATGTTGATTAATCCTTGCTCCCATCTGTGTATGTATCATGTACTGTATCAGAAGTTACTGTTTGAACAGGCCAGTTCTTTATGTAAGTTGTGACTTTAACAGTTGTAATAGCACAACAAACTGACTTATTATGTATCACTGCCATAGGTACTATGGTGCAGGTAGGATGCTGCCCAGTAGCCAGTGCCATGGGAACTCTGATGACCTAGCGCTGCAGGAGTACGAGAACCAACCAGACACGCCAAACAGAGCGGGGAAGCGACCCTCTCCCAGGGACGGTCCCAAGAAGAAGCGTGCGCGTCTATCGTGGGATATCCCGCAAACGGACATCATCATCACCACGTACCACATCGTTAGGATCGACGTCGATGCCTTGGCAAAGATACAATACAGTATGTTTTATTGTCTTGTGTGAGGATAGCTAATTGCACCACAGACAAAGCAGTATACATAGCACCAATAGCAGCACAAAGGCTGTTATGTAGACAGGATGTTGTAAATGGTGTGCTAGAGATAGACTTACTTAGACTTAGTTCCTCCCGTGCAAGGCACATTGGGCAGCAAGTCTTCTCCACTCTGCTCTGTCTTCGGCGAGGGACTCGGCATCCTTCAATGTTATCCCCCTGCTTTCCAGATCTTTTTGAAGGGTACGTCGCCATGTTAGTTTAGCTAGAGATAGAGGAAGGTTAAAAGTATTGGTGCTTTGGCTGGGATAACAGAATAGAATTGTATTCAGTAGATCAAACAATATCATGAAAAGGTATAGAGAAAAATTGTGTGAATTGTGTGAATTGTATTCAACACACTGGATTGTGTATTCAGCACCAAAGACAGAGCAAGTATGAATGGTTTTCAGTACAGTGGATTGTGGGGGCGGCATGAATTGCATTCAGCACCAAGGACAGAGCTAGTGTGAATGGTATTCAACTCTAGGCAAGTTATTCAGCACCAAGGACAATGTGATTTGTATGGTGTTCAGCACCATGAAGAGAACGTGTTAATGGTATCTGTTGCAGGGAATGTGCAAAATGAGTAGCATTCAGCACCAAGGACAGAGCAAACGTGAATGGTATTCAGACTTTGAAACATTCTAATGTGCCTTGTTCTTCCTGTAGGTATGGTCTTGATCGATGAAGCTCAGTACATCAAGAACTGCAAGTCACAAACAGCAAAGGTAAGGGCCAGAATTTGGTTCCCTATAAAGTACAAACTTTGAGTTATATGAAACCCTAACACTCTAAAATGTTAAACTTACATGTAGCACCTAGCACTTAAATGTACTGGTTATGTTAACTGCAGGAAGACATTGTTTTTGCTCAGACGTATGTCACCATGGTGACTGGTGCACATGTTGGGTTACATCATGTTGCAATTTTATAGCAGGAGAGATTTCGACTCCTGTCCCCATACATATGAATGTGTTTGAGGAAGAATTACAGAGCAGACCATATGCGAAGGTAAACACTAGTCTATGCATTTGCTTTGCAAATGTTACCTTTCTAGTTCTGATGTATTCGTCTCTCCCCCTCACCAGGCAGTGAAAAGGATGAAGGCAAAGATGCATGTTGCCCTGTCGGGAACCCCGGTGGAGAATAACCTGACAGAGCTGTGGTCTGTGTTTGACTTCACCTTCCCCAAGTACCTGGGTACCAACAAGGACTTCACTCAGTCATTTGCCAAGCCTATTGAGGTAGGTACAGACCCAGTTACTTCAACTACTTGTCTATTCTAATCCCCTGGTCAAGTCAATCAGACTTTCTATTGCTTTTTGAGCATCCTGACAGTGATTGCAGTCATAGAAATACTTTATTTCACTGTTCTGCGATACTGTAGAATGTAAAAAAATTTTTCTGCAATTTGTAAAGATTTTCTGCAAATACATGCCTAAAATAAATGCCCATGGCATATGTGAAATTGCATGTTGGTCCACATTTTATGTGCAATTTGAAAAATACATGCAAAATTACTTTTTATTAGTGATTAATTATTATAGTATATTATACATATATAGTCAGTAGTAAAGCTGAAAGCTGAAAAAGCTGAAAAAGAGAAATGATTATTTATTAAACACTTCAGTTTGTACAGTGTTTCATTTAATGAAGCAGCCATGAAAAAGACCAGCATATTTGTATTTAAAACCTTAGATTGTTTTTGACATCATCAGTCCTCTCCCTTGTTTCCAGGTCCATCGTGACCCAGATCGTGTGGAGGCCCTCCGTGCCATCACCAGACCCTTCCTCCTGCGCCGGCTGAAGACAGACAGGTCCATCATTAAGGACTTACCTGACAAGATCACCACGCCGAAGTACAACTCTCTGACTGCTGAACAAGCTGCGTTGTATGAGGTAGTCTTCAGACTTAGCACTGGTTCCTTTTTTATGTTTACCGAAAGAAAACATTTGTTTTTGCTCAGTTTCTTCCTCTTTTTCTTCTCCAAATAAGGTCAAAGACCTGAACCAGACGTCTGTCACCATGGTAACTAGTGTTGGGTTACATCATGTTGCAATTTATAGCAGGTCAGGGAAAGTCATAATTTCAAAGTAATTATTAGATTTGACTTAGTCCATTCATGTAGAATAGACTAGAAACCTAACTGTGTATAGAAAGCTAGTTTCATTTTAACAGTGAGATAATTTTCCTTCCCAATCCTCCGTGTATTGCAGAGCGTGGTTCAGAACATGGTGAAGAAGCTGGCGGAGGCCAAGGAGAAGAAGGAGAGGACAGGAGTGATCTTCCAGACCATGACCTTCCTCAAGCAGATCTGTAACCACCCTGCCAACTTCACCAAGAACAGCAACAGGGACATCCAGGCATCTGGCAAGGTAGACATCAGCCTTGTGTTTGACTTTTGATGATTTTATGTTGGTTGAAAGACTACCGGTGTTATTTACTTGTGCTCCTCACATCCTGCTCCTCTCACACTGATTTGAATGTGATACTTGGTAAGACAATAGAAGGTTCACCATGATGTTCAAAGCTCAGTTTATAACCCCACAAATGAGCATACTAAGTGTGACCCTGAAAGATATACATGTATTTTTGCCCACCTTACATGTTCTATTCCTGTAATGCCCCTAATGTACATCATTGTTAGCTCGAAAGTTCATATGTGTTGAGACAACCTGAGAGTTAATCTGTTTTGGTAGAGGACATTCTGAAACAGGTACTTTTAAACTGTAATTTTCAACACAAAATTTTTACATCATTGTCCCCAGATAAGGGTCCATAGTCCATACTAAATGAAGGATTTCCATGTTCTGTTCTTGTACTGGTCCTGATGTACATGCTTGTTGTTCCCAGATGAAGGTCCTGATAGACCTGCTCCAGCCCATCCTGCAGCAGGGAGAGAAGGTCCTGATCTTCTCCCAGTACGTCCAGATGATCAAACTCATGGCACACATGGTGGAGGGGCACCTCAAGGTCAAGCCGCTCATCTTCGAGGTGGGGATTGTCTTGCTGTTTATGAAAAGCTTTTACTATTCTGTGACGTGAAGCAGCAGTCATAGTAGTTAGTAGTATGTTTCAACCCGTTCTCTATTTCCAATACTGTTCTTCTCAACCATATCACATTGTACAATGAACTGTTCTAGTCTTTAGTCTTTCAGTTGTTGACACATTTTCTGCTATCATGTTCTACTTGGAGTCCTTTTGGAGTTCTCCATCCAAAATGTTTACCATTTTTTTCATCAAACAATCTTGAAATGCGAAGCACCCATAGCCTTCCCTTATGTATAGCCATACAGAAGGCACATAAAACATAACAATATGGGAATTGTTGTGCAGCTTGAAAACTACTGTAACACAGCTGTCTGCACATCATGAAGATGTTTTGAATTTGGACCAATCACAGGGCTGCATGACCCAGCCCCAGAGGGATGAGGCCATCACTGCGTTCCAGACCCAGCCTCACAGACAGATCATGATCGTGTCTCTACAGGCAGGAGGGGTTGGGTATGTTCTGTCAGAGTTCTGTATTTTGCCAAGTGTAGGCTTAGACTTCTTACAAGACTCTTAAGAATTTTGTGCTGTGTGATTGTTATGTATGCTGAGAAGGTTATCTTTTGTAAAGTTCTTGCTGGTTTGTTGTTATGCTTGAATGTGTTGATGGGAAAGTAAAAGGTGATTAAATTTTGGAAATTGCATACTTCACCTTTCCACAGGTTGAACCTGACAGCGGCCAACCATGTCATCCACTATGACCTGTGGTTCAACCCTGCCAAGGAGAACCAAGCAACTGACCGCGCTTTCCGCATCGGACAGACCAAGACCGTGTTTGTCTATCGCTTTATCTCAGGTCAGATAATATTGTCTAGCGCCCTCTTTCCACTGTGACAGCTGTATGATAGCTCAGCAATTGCTGTTTTGAGGCTGAAGTGTGAAAGATGCTCAGTAGCCAAGATAGAAAAGATCTTATCAAAGTTATACATCATACAAATGTGGATTTGACGTTACACTCTAGGGAAATATCTTCCTGCTATGGTGTTCTTACCAAGGATCCTGTATGATTTCTGCACATGTATTTGTTTTTATCTTGCAATACACTTCCATGATCAGGTAGGATCTTATAAAAGAAGCCAACTTGCTATGCTTAAAAGTGTGGTTTGGCAAATTCTGATGAAAAAATCTCACTAAATGCAATGTTTATGAAAAACACTTAGAAGCCATTTCCAGTTCTTAAAAGGTTCTCCTTATGTTTGATCCTATCTGATTCATAATTTTTGTATTATGATACATCTAGCCTCCAAGGTAGCATCTTGTTTTGCTGTTTTTATATTGCCTGGCTATGGAGGCTAGATTTTATCTCTTTCAATTTCTCCCAATTTTTGCACTCCTACTTTCAGAATAGAAGATTTAAACGTCAGCCACTGCAGACTTTTATTAACTGTACCTTGGTGTGTCTGTTGGCCCGACAGAGAACACCTTTGAAGAGAAGATCGATGCCATGTTGGAGAAGAAGAAGGACCTGTCAAACCTGTCAGTCCAGGCCGGGGAGACCTGGATAGGAAATCTGAACGATGACGAGATCACACAGCTCTTCACCAGGGGGTAGTGGGAGCACTGTGTTATCACTACGTCTAGGGATGACTTGAGATCAGAGTTATTAAGTAGCAGAGCCACCATTGACGAAATAGCTGGGGGGAAAAATAGGCAGATCTTTATTGGCCTTAACTGTAATAATTATTATGACTAGACTATATATACCCTGTGACTTTTTCAAGTGCTGTAGCTTCATACCTAAGTATGCTGAGGGTGTCCATTCCATTGCTTCACTTCAGAAAAGGATCAGCTTGAAGTTACCCCATCAAATCAGGACATCAAAAATGGTTTTGTCTAAGTGAGAGCGTAATTGTTAAGTGAAAAAGATGGAACTAAACAAACTGTGATATTATTAGTACCAGGGTTGAGTGGGGGATATGAGGGATGCAAAATACTGTGATAGGAGGGTACATGGATATCTTAGTAGATAAGATAAAAGATGTTGCACAAAGACAAGATGAAGTTAAAAGAAGATAAAGATGTTGGACAAAGAGAAGATTTTAGTAGATAGATAAAGATGTTGCACAAAGAGAAGATGAAGTTCAAAGAAGATAGAGATGTTGCACAAAGAGACAATGAAGTTAAAAGAAGATAAAGAAAGACAGGATTTTGTAGCTTTTTATTTTTAGTGGAAAGTAATTGATAAGTGATACAAAGGGCTAGATAGGTCAGTTTTTTTTATAAATTTAAATTAAAACTTAGAAACAACACTGCTGCTTATCATTGGCAAGGGATTCACATATGCACAATGACAATGTCTATAGTTAACTGGTAAATGATGAAGAACAAAGGTTAAAGATATATATTTTTACTATATTTTTACACCCATGATAACCATGTCTGTATTCTTGGTCAAAAAGAAACCTGAACACTTCTGCAGAATGGATACTTGTGTTTTGTCACACTTTTGTTTTGTCACACTTTTTTCTATTAAAAAAACTAAACTATTGGTTTCCTTTGTTTGTTCAAGCGTGTACTTTTGTGTCATTGTTGTTGATGTAAAAGTATCTGACAAACCCTTCAAGACAATTCTAATTGTGGAGGGAAAGCCAAGAAGTACGAAAGGTTGATTGTAACATTGTCACTTGACCACATCTACGTGCATGTTAGCATACGTGCGGCCGCAAGGTGGCGTGCATAAACTTGTGTGGAAAATATGCAATGTCACGTCTTGGCTGAGCCTATCTTCTCATCTTCTCCAAGTCGAGTTTGCGACGTTTAGCATTACATGTATTTGTATTGGCGCTCACAGGTACCAAAACGTTTTATGTGGTAAGGGCGGGGTAATTTTTACAGATTGCCGTTTAAAAGAGTCTCTACAGAGACGTACATAACGTGACCCTCCACCCAGGAGCCCGTGGGCGAATCGATTCGCCCAGCGGGAAGCCCGTATTGTAGAGTGCACGTAGCGTAGGTAACGTGGGCAATCCGGAGAATACGTGACCTGCATAAGAGTATTACGAAACATTCCTGAGCATGCGCACACCGGCGGATGTCGCTGCATGTGCGTGTACGGTGAGGTCCTTAACGTGATCAGCAGCAGAACTTTTGACCTTGACTTTATTTGAATCCACATTTAGCTCAACAGCTATTGGTCCATTACATTACATACCAATTTGAAATAACAACTGCAACAATAAAAATAACATTAACACACTCAAGGACATTTATCTCCAAAAATTATTCGGATAGACAATTTTCTATTCTGATAGCCCTGTTAATCGAATAGAAAAAATGAGTGTGAATGGGGTCTATGTATAACGTTAATGTCCTGGACACACTGAAGTATTAGTACATTGTACGTCCCCGGGTCATCAATTTTTACCAGTGTTCCTTGTACAAAAACAGAGCTGTGCATCTTTGGAAAAAAAACGCAATAGTCTCCCTAGTCACCACGACTTTCCGAAATTGGCGTAAAATAAAGGTTTTGTGTCTACAAAACCCACCTGTTCGAATGTGGGCATGGCGGCCGGATACTGCATGTAGTCGTTATATTTTCAGTCTGGAGCTGCCATGTCTGGACTCCCGCCAAAGTTTAGATTGAAGAACAACCCAGGGGAATGGTATCTGACGGCACCGTTTCTACCTGATCACCGGCACGCCGTTCATCTTGTTATGTAGCTACGCTTATTGACAGCCTTTCACGGGAATGAGGGCCCTGCTCCCTTATTTCTTCCCGTCGGGTATCCTGATTTGTACAAGTCGTTACCTATAGTTTATAGTTAATGTAGACCTAACCGTAATAGAGTTAATACGTTTTCGTTACATCTCCCTTCTAGCACAACATACATGTATGCCGTTCTTGGCTTGTATAAGTTTTTACATCGTTGGAATTTGACACTTTTGAATATTGTTAGACATTTACCATTTATATGCCAAGCATTTGCTTTACATTCTCTCTGCCAGGTTATATTTGTCTTTTTTTTAAAATCCCAGTGAGTATAGTTTTCTGATTGCGTGTTGAGAGTACTAGTAACGGCCTGAAGCATTTGCCACCTTTGACCGACGTTCCACGGTAGGCATAACTCGGCGGTCACACACATACATATATATCACGACTTCTAAGTACACGGGAAATGGCATTTCCTGCTCTCCTGGTAGAGGAGGCTGCCGCCTTTTCAACTTCCTTCGCTCTCCTGTTTTGCCGACATCCCTCGCATAAAAGCTCCCCCCAGGCGTGACTGCTCGGTATTCTGACTTCCACAGAAAGAACATCTGGAACCCGACGGAAGTGGTTTTGAAAAGGGAACGTAGTTGACAAGCACTGATAACACAGAATATACTAATACGCCACCCTATCATGGCATGCATGGCCGGGGAACTCTAGGATCAATCAGGGGATATACTGTAGTGTACTGAAAAGGTTTTGAATATGCCGTGTCCCTAATACAGTTTCCGTAGCTGGAGACGTTGTATCAATCCCCCGTAGTGTCAACGTCAAATATTTGTTGTGATGAGCACGGATTTTAACAAATCATGACGCAGCGAAATTAAAAATACATGTAATAAACTCCTAAGCACACCTTGCTGTGCACTAATACAGTATTTACAAATGATCCTATTTCAAATTCCTGTTTAATAATGGATTGTAGTTATAGTTTTTTATAATTCATATGCTATCTTCTTAGTATACATTACTGATAATCACTCGTCAAAGATCACGAGTTATTGGTGAATCCTGCTTATCCTATTTCCACACAGATGAAATTTGAAGCTAAGACTTACATATTGTCGGTTGGGAAAAATGTTTATCTTCGTTAATTCTATTACAGAATTTGCATTTTTAAAATTATGTAAGTCCGGACCCGTCTTCCTTTCTTGAGTGATCCCTTTTTGCATGGAAGATTTAACACCTCAGAAACGATCATCAAGTTCGTTGTACTGTGTGATGAAATTTCAATCCGGCCAATCAACGATTCTGCGCCTGTTCAGAGACATTTATTCTCGGCTCTAAAGATGTCTGGATAATGTAGCAATCATTGCGGGACAACTCCCTCTAGGCCACAGCAAGTTAATTTTAAAGATGACATCCTCCGCAGACTCCAAATCTAGTGCGATAGTGCGAAAAAGAAACAAGGTGATCCCCAAAAACAAGGCTGCTACATTTTTAAATTTTGACATCATAAATCTTCTTAAACAAGACATGATACCTATATTGGGCTAAGTTCACTGCCAACTGTCACAACATCCATTTGTCACTGAATTCGAAAAATAAAAGTTGTCAAGCAAAAGACAAAACAATAAATCAGAGCCTTGTCTTGTCTCCTCTCTTCATATTCATCGTCATCCACCTTCCGGCATGGCAATTCAACAGACACCTTTGCCCATTTTCGGCATGTTGTTTACTGTCAAAGGGCAACAATTTTTCCCCCTAAATCAGGCGAAAATCAATGCGTGCTGATGTCATCCATAAAAATTACTTGCTGTGGCCTAATGTACCAATCATCACGGGACAACTTCCTTTACGATGTACGGGTAGAGATCTAGAGATGAAATAAAATTTCACAGTTTATCCCGGTGAGACCAGACCTCCCATTATGGTACATTCCGTGTAAAACACTTCATCAGGTGGAAACTAACATCATGAGAGGCAACGTGAAAATTGGTGACATTATAAATATTGTAGATTGGTCCGCCCACCTTGCTGCAGAACAGCTCAGCTACATTGTGTGCCCGACATGGCTGGGTTCTAAGCCCCTGCGCTAGGCCACTGCGAGTTTTTGTTAAAATCTATATTGTTTTGTAAACCATCAAAAGCTATTGTTTTGCGGTAAGAACATATACTGTCTACTCACTCAGTCCGTTGCCATCACAATACATCTTGAACACGGTCCGTTAAAAGATTTCCAAGAATCATACACTGTGAACACAAACACCGTGAACACGGTCTGTTAAAAGATTTCCTAGAACATGGAGAATCATACACTGGACTGTGAACTCGCGGTCCACAACCTGACGAGGATTCCAAAGAACCATACGAAGAGATACCGAAGTCTCCCGAAGATTGCCGAGAGCCGAACAGCGACTTCCGAACACTTTATCTTGTTCTCTCTTATTACAGTGTATTTCATACTTAATTGTATGTCATTCATTTTGACCGAACGTTACATATCAGGAGGGGAGGGGCTTAATCCCAATCCACAACACAAGAAAAGTGCATGTTGGAAAACATGTTTTAAAGAACACACGCACCTTGCCGACAAGGTAGTCTAATTCAATGACAAGTTACCCGTTACTGTCCTAGAGAAGGTTATCAACCGTTTTGATGAATCTTTATTTTTATAATTCAAAAAACTGTGACCAAAAATGGCCTTGACCTGAAACACGTATGCCTCGTTCCCAGCTTGCTAGAATTAATTTTTCACGTTCCCAGGGCGCGTGACCGACTCCTCAGCCAGCTATGACGTCACAGGCGTCTAGTACGCCCACCCGGTCTGCCGGATTAATTGGTCAGACTTTCGGAAGCCGACAGAACCATTAGGTTCACGGAGAGAGACATATCCTTACAATACATCTCATGTGTTGCCGG